TGCTAGGGAGGTAGTATGAATAAGACATGGAAACATGCACCAACAGAGAACATAGTCCCATAAACCAAGGCAAACGGAAACCAAGCTGGTCACATACTTGCACTTGGTATCGCAGACATTGGAAATCGGAAAAAACAGACGGGATACGGACCTAGACCACCCTAGAAAATGCATGCCCCAAAGTGACAACAGGAAAATTCAAACTCCCTTCTGAAAGCTTTTTCACCCTGAACAGAGTACCTCATCAGTCCAGGAAAGACTGTGCTATAACTAAATTGCAATGCACACCAACTAAAGGGACAAAAAGATACAAACATCCATCCCATTGGGAAACCTGGGTTAGCCACAGCCACTCAAGAGGGAGAGGTTTTTCTTTAAGCCAGGAATAAAAAAAACTGGCAGGAAATGGCAAAATCCGACACCAAATTCCAGTCATTTCCTGGAGATGGGAACCACAGTCGATGGCCTCCACTCCAAACCAACATATCACAGAACTAATGCCGAAAAAAATCCCCCCCAGTAACCAACAATACCACCATCGGGGGGGCGGGGTGTCCGATGACATTCTTTCTTTGCAAATATAGAGGGTCTAAGGCCTGTAAGGACACCGGTTTAGAGTATTGTTGAAGTAGGTGAGTCTTGATTGTGTTAACAACAAACAGACAAAATACCTTACAACCGAGACTGCTTAGTGCAAGATGGCAAAGTGCACTAGTTCGCGGCTTTCACTGAGACCCACATACAGGATCCCTTGGACAACTAAATAGAACCCCAGGTTACAACCTATACAGATGTTACAGATTGAACCGGCAAAAGTGGGGGGGTTGCCTGTACAGGAACACTGCAGAGTCACATGTATTGCACAGACCTGCTTAATGCCTCAAAGTGAAAGTAGTGGAAGTTATTAGGCAGTAAGGTCGAAAGCCAAAACCTAGTCATTGTTGGTAGTCTACCAGCTTCCGGATACACCACCCAGCATTTTCAGGACAGCTGTTTATAAATTTGGACCACTGTCTGGAAAATTCTCCATCATTCCTGCACCCAACCAGTCTTTCCCTGGGTATTTTCAACTTAAGGCAACTAAAACGAGGAATATAGCAAATAAATTGTTTCAGTAATAACACCAGAGGCCACTCATATGAAAACTCACACTCACACGAGCATTTAAATCTCTGCACAAAAATCAATTTAAACCAGCTAAATAATAAAGCCTACAAGACTGGATAATAGGTAGGCGCCCTATAAACAAAAACATTTAAAATCAGTAACGTGACCGGTAAGCATTCCATATACAAAAAGAGTTAGAAACATAAATACAAAAACTAGAAGCTTCAATTTAATGTTATTAATAGAATTTTCAAGAGGTTCTAGTGAAAATTGCAGAAATCAACCATTCAAATCACATGAAGCCTGTGAAGTCTGTGGACGTCAAACAAACGGCTTCCACATGATAAATTTGTCATTTTTTGGAAATTGGTGTCACGCCCCTTGTGCAGATATCCCAGAACTAGCAACAAGCAGTATTAAAAACAGAGAGTGTATTGGTATGCTCAAATGAGGAAAAACTGAGGACTTAAAATCAACAAGGGTTTAAAGAGGACAACACAAAGCTGCTTTCCAAGAAAACCTGAAGCTTTCTACAAAAGAAGGGATCTTAAAATGTCTGGGCTGATGGTACTTGCCCTTGATACTGGCCATAGTAGGCAAAACGTAAGGCTGGAGGTGATGTCTGGTAGTCGGTAAATGTGTGGCAGGAAAGTGCTGCCTGGAGACAGTAATGAGAAGCTGGAGTGCTGTCCTGGAGACAGTAATGGTGAAGCTGATTGCTTTCGCTGGGAGACAGTATGGTGAAGCTGGAGGTGCTGTCCCTGGAAGACAGAAATGGTGAAGCTGGAGATACTGTCCGAGGGAGACAGAAATGGTGAAGCTGTAGGTGCGTGTCCTGGAGACAGAACATTGTAAGCTGGAGATACTGTCCTGGGAGACAGTAAAGGAGAGAGCAGGAGGTTCTGCCTGGGAGACAGAAAATGGTGAAGCTTGAGATACTTTCCTGGTAGACAGAAAAGTGAAGCCTGGAGATACTGTCCAGGGAGACGGGAATATATACTCAGGAAGAATACATAAAATGACCTCCATAGGGACAGGAGCATAGTAGGTAACAAGTGTAGTCACAGATAATCAAAAACATTATTGCAAACTAGAAATACCGCAGAGATAGCAAACAAAGGACTCCAATAAGCAATAGTGAGATAACTTACCAAAACAACTGGTGGGAGCTCCATTGTGTTAGTGGCTAGGGAGGATAGACGTAAGACATTGAAACATGCACCAACAGGGAATACAGTCACAGAAACCCAAGGCAAGCGGAAACCAAGACTGTGTCACATACTATGCCACTTGGTATCTGGAGCCTGGCATCGGGAAATCTGAAAAACAGATGGGACATGCAACTATGACCACCCCTAGTAAAATGGCCATGCCCATATGAAAACATGTAAAAATGCCCCCCAAACTCCTTCCTGTAAGCAATTTCACCCTGAAATTTGATACCTCATGCAGTACATGAAAGACAGTGCTATATACTTAAATTGCCAGCAAACCATCTAAAGGGGGACAAAAAGAAACAAAACGCAATAGGGCATCCAGGCCAGGGGAAAACCATGGTAACCCACAGCCACTCAAGAGGGAGAGGTTTTTTAGTTGCCAGGAATGAAAAAAACTGGCAGGAAATGTCAAAGATCGTACCCCAAATCCATTCATTCTGGAGTGGAACCTAAGCAGTCGATGGACTCCACTCCAAACCATCAGATACAATACTAATGCCGGGAAAAAAAATCCCCCCCCATACCAACAAAACAACAGTCCGATAAACATTCTTCTTAGCAAATATACATGGTCTAGAAGGCCAGCTACAAACAACAAAATACCATTCATTCCGTGGACTGCTTGCAGAGGCAAGCAAATGTTCGGGCTTTCAACTGAGACCCACAAAAAAGGATCACTTGGACACCGAAGTATGGATCCAGGTTACAACCATACAGATTGACAGAGTGCACAGAGCAAAAGTGGGGGTTGTCCTGTACAATTGCAGAGTCCCCCCCCACTTTGTTTTGCAGCAGAACGCTTAATGCCTCAAATGACGTAGTGGAAGTTTTAGCATAAAGGTCGAGAACCAAAACCTAGTCATTGTGGTATTCTACAAGCCTCCGGATGCAACATCCCAGCAATACCAGGAACAGCAATAAAAATTTGACCACTGTCCTGGAAAATCTTCCAGCGCCTGCAACCCACATCATTCCCAGGGGTGATTTCAACTTAAGGCACCTAAAATGGAGGAATATCGCAAAATATAATGTTTGCAGAAATAACACCAGGAGGCAGCTCTGATGAAAACTCACACTCACAAGTAACGATCTATTAAATCTCTGCACACAATTCAATTTAAACCACAAATAATATGCCTACAAGACTGTAGAATACACTAGATCCTCATCTTCACTAACACTGATGATCTGAAAAGAAATGTCACCATATCAAAAACAATATTACTCAATCAACAACATAATTGAGGTTCAACCATGTACTGCAGGAGCCCCAGACCCGACAAAATGAAGACTAGTCATGAGGTAGCATTTCACAATTTCAACTTCAATAACAAAAACATAAAGTGGACCAAGTAAACCAAGTCCTAACCGAATCAGCTGGGAAGATATACTAACAACACAGACCCAAACTTATGCCTAGAACAGTATTAACTCGGTGGCACTCGATGTATGCACAATGCTTATTCCTCTACAGAAAAAGGAGGAGTAGATTGTAAAATCGTAAAGAGACAGGCGCTCCCCTTTACGGCGACGGAATAGAATAACAGAAGCGGCTAAAAGAGGTCAATATATCATGAAAATCGCAGGGAGACACTGGTCAAGAGAAATAGCAAGCATCCGAACTTACGCAAAAAGAATCCTTTAGGTCAGGAATAGCGGGAAGAACAAAAGCCATAAATAAATCGAAAGAAACCCAAAGAATTCCTCTCCTATGCGCAAATCAAAATCGAGAACAAGTACTAACGTCCAGTAAGGCCCCTACTTAAACAGATGGGTCCTACACAGATGACAGCAAGGAAATGAGTGAGCTACACAATTCCCAATATGACTCAGTTTTTAGCAAGCGCTAACCAACCTGAGAGACGCAAGACCAAAATGAATTATATATGAGAGAGCCACAAAATTTGACTAACACAACCTATCCGATTTTATCCTGACGCCAAAAAATGACTTCGTACAGGCGATAAAGGACAAGCCCATGCAGCTCGCCCCAGGGCTCAGACTCATGGAACTCTGTTTTCATCAAGGAACTGCAAGAAGCCCTATCACTATCCTTTTCCATCCTTGGAGAGGGAGCATGGACACGGGGTCCGTCCCTCAGTTACTAAAAACAACAGACATAGCCCCACTCCACAAAGGGGCAGTAAAGCAACAGCAAATAACTACAGACCCATACACTAACATCCCATATCATAAAAATCTTTGAAAGGGTCCTAAGAAGCAAGATCACCACCCATCTAGAAACGCAGTCATTTACACAACCCCATGGCCACATGGGTTAGAACAGGTCGCACCTGTTCTGTCACAACTACTGGATCACTACGACAAGGTCCTACCCTTTCGTCAGCGAACAACCATCGAAAAAGTGAGGAGCATATTATAGTGGTAGTGGGTTTGTGTCAATCATCTTTGATATTGTTTTAGTGTCATCTTCACACCATTTATAACATTTCTGGTATATTTTTAAATGTTTATACAGTAGTGTAATGTATATTGTAATAAACAGAATAGAGATCAGCTCCAATATACATTATTTGGGTATGCATACTGGTCAGAGAGTCTGTCGTAAGTCTGAGTCATCAGTAAACGAGTACGTCGCTTAGTGAGGGGAGGCTGTACAACATTTATAATACTGCATAAAGAAATCAAATTTGTTTGACATATCACACTGTTTAGGCATACGGTGAAGGATCTGACTTGGTGAGTGTGAGCAACAAGGAGGAACATGGCTTCATCACACGTCATCTGCATGAGAACGACCCCCTCCAGCGAGAGTGGTACACTTCAGGCTATCAGAAGACCCCAAGTTTCTGGGAAAATGCTGGAGATGGAACTTCATTTCAAGATATGATGGAGGCTTTACTTCCCAACCAAGGCTCAAGTCCCACCAGAAATTTTCTTGCATACAGGTTAGTGCATTAAATTTAATGTGATCTTGGCCAATTCTGTAAAAGCATTTCTGATGTTAAAAGTGGTATAAAATACCAACAGTTTGAAGATTAAGACATGTTCAACAGTTGGGTATCTTTATTGATGAAATGTTTTGTGAGATACGAAGGGAGCAGTGCTAATGAAATAAGGGTGATGTAAGCAGTCCATCAACCTTGGAGAAAAAGTATTGAGGTGGTCAGTTCCTCAGGGACTGACCACCTCAAATATTTTTTTCCCAAGGTTGGTGGACTGATTACTACTTCTTTTAACAAACTGGCCAGGTGAAATTGCTGACCTAGAAAATGTACAGAGAACCTTCACGGCGCGCATAACGGAGATAAAACACCTCAATTACTGGGAGCGCTTGAGGTTCCTAAACCTGTATTCCCTGGAACGCAGGCGGGAGAGATACATGATTATATACACCTGGAAAATCCTAGAGGGACTAGTACCGAACTTGCACACGAAAATCACTCACTACGAAAGCAAAAGACTTGGCAGACGATGCAACATCCCCCCAATGAAAAGCAGGGGTGTCACTAGCACGTTAAGAGACCATACAATAAGTGTCAGGGGCCCAAGACTGTTCAACTGCCTCCCAGCATACATAACAGACCCCTGGCTGTCTTCAAGCTGGCACTGGACAAGCACCTGAAGTCAGTACCTGACCCGCCGGGCTGTGGCTTGTATGTTGGATTGCGTGCAGCCAGCAGTAACAGCCTGGTTGATCAGGCCCTGTTTCACCATGAAGCCTGGTCACAGACCGGGCCACGGAGGCGTTGAACCCTGGAACTCTCTCCAGGTGAACTCCAAGTAGTACTCCACCAAGGCACGGTGGCCCAAAAGGAAAAACAAAAGTTTCTCCTTTTACCAGCCCCTTGCTCCCGGCATTTTAGTCGCCTCTTACAACATGCATAGCTTATGGGGGAAGAATTCTGTTCCACTTCCCCATGGAGATAAAAAAAAACTAGTAAGAAAATAGAAGAAAACCCAGAGGGGTGTGTATATATGCTTGTACATGTATGTGTAGTGTGACCTAAGTGTAAGTAGAAGTAGCAAGACGTATCTGAAATCTTGCAAGTTTATGGGACAGAAAAAAGACATCAGCAATCCTACCATCACGTAAAACAACTACAAGTTTCCGTTTTACGCCTGGCAGGACGGTAGTACCTCCCTGGACGGTTGCTGTTTACCAACCTACATAGGTGGACTGATTATCTTTATATCATTATTACTGCTCCCTCTGTATCTGACTGATAGTGTAAACATGTTCTTAGGCCTTTATATGCACTGGTGAGTTAAAAAATGACCGTGATTCGCTTGAAAGCGGGGGTCTGGAACCTAACCCACCGTATTAGCGAAGCAGTATGCCTGCATATATTTTTTTTTTTATCATGATGGTTGTCTCCTGCCATGACAGGATGACTCATAGAGGAAAGCACATTCACCATCATTCTTTTGATCCAGAAGAGTGCTGATGTCACAATTGGATTACCCCTCTGATTGCAACATCCTTACCTCTTCAGAGTGTCTGGGTGCAGGTACTACCCTCCCCACTTCCAGGACTCAAATCTAGCTAACTGGTTCCCCCTGACTCCCTTCATAAGTTACTCTGCTCGCACTCCAACAGCACATCCATTAAAAGCCACTTATTTCTATTCACTCCTAACACACACTCACAAGCCTGCTGGATGCTTAAGCCCCTAAAACTCAAAGCTTCTTGTACCTCTATCTCTCCAACCATTCCTAAGATGACCCCCTTCCCTCTCTACCTCCCACCCCAGATTTATACACCCTCTTCATTGATCTATCCCTGCCCATCCTCTACATGCCCCCACCACCTCAACAGTTCATCCTAAATTCACTGAATTATACTCTTGGCTATTCCACATTGCTTCTGAATTTTTAAGCTCTGATTTCTCTGCATGATTTTTCACACCACACAGTGCTCTCAAACATGTCTCTACTCCCTGTAGCAAGTATCTTCACCAGGTGCCAGATCAACCAGGCTATGATGGATATGTGGGTCGGCAGACCACTAGTAGTAACACCCTGGTTGATCAGGCAAGCACCAGACGAGCCTGGCCTGTGGCTGGGCTCTAAGAGCAGAAAAAACAGAATTTATCAAAGGTATTCTTTTCACTGCAGCATTCAAAATCTTTCATGTCTCCATAGGAAAACTCAGCAGCATGTGTGAGTGTGCTCGATAGGAGTGAGTGGAGGCATGTGGTTTTTATGACTTGATGTGCTGTAGGAGTGTGAGCAAAGTAGCATTTATGAAGGGATTCAGGGAAACCATTAGCTGGACTTGAGTCCTGATGGTGGGAGGTAGTGCCTACACTCTGAAGGAGGGGTGGAGATATGTTGCAATTTGGAGGGACATCTGAACTGTGATGTTAGTGTACCTTTGGCAAGACAGTGATGGAGTGAGTGATGGTGAAAGTGTCTTTTTTTTGTGTCACCTTGCCTTAGTGGGAAACAGTTGATGTGTTAGAAAATAAAACAGATATGTCCAATAATTTCTTTTTGTTAGTATTAGGCTCGTTCTGCTTGAAGCTTTGGGCTTTTCTATGTAAGTAGTTATTAGCCTACTTGTAATCTCTAATGCATCTTCTTGGTAATGATTTAGTATGGACCAAAATGTTGTCCAAAATTCCCTCTGTTATGTTCTGTTTCTCAACAGTTACTCATATCGACACAAAGAATGGGGTCTGTTGATGGTGGATGGGGAGGAGCCACTGCTGTACATCTGTGAAATACCTCAGGGTAACATAGACATGTTGATTGACGAGTCTGTCGAGCGAGACCACGAGTATGGCTTCCTGGTCAAGGACCCCACGAAGATACCCCGGGCTCCCATTATCGTTACCCAGCCTAAAAACACCATGTTTGACCTCGTGCGGAGGGAAGTGATCAACTACGTCTCTGTTATGTGTATAGGTATGTAATGTTCTCGACTTTTTACTATTTTTGCATTCTTTCGTATGTTGGTAGACAGCAAACAACCAGAGAAGTATTACTGTTATGTGGTAGTAGGTCAGTAGACAGCTGTCACCCAGGCAGATACTCCCATCTTGTGGTGGTAGGTTGGTAGACAGCAACCACCCAGGGAGGTATTACGTACTGTCCTGTGGTAGTAGGTTAGTAGACAGCAACCACCCAGGGAGGTTGTGCAAGAAAGGTATAAAATACTGGATGGCGAAACGTCTACAATAAAGATATCCAGATGTTGCACATGTGTCTTAACTTTCACCCAGGGAGGTATTACGTACTGTCCTGTGGTAGTAGGTTAGTAGACAGCAACCACCCAGGGAGGTACTACCATCCTGCCAAATCTGTACGAAACAGACCAGTAATTGTTTTACACAATAGTAAGATTGCTGGTGTTTTTTCTTTCTGTCTCATAAACACTCAAGAAAATAAGTACATCTGGCTACTTCTTAGGTCACACTACACATTCATAAACACGTATATATATATACACACTCACCTGACTTTTCTTCTATTTTCATAATACTTCTTGTTCTTATTTTCATCTCCATGAGGAAGTGAAATAGAATTCTTCCTCTGTAAGTAATGCGTGTCGTAAGAGGCGGCTAAAATGCCGGGACAGTTGGCTATTAACCCGTCATCCTATACACATTACTAAATGTGAAAAGGAAAACTTTAGTTTTTTCTTTTTTAACCCTTAAACGGTCCAAACGTATATATACGTTTTTTCAACATCTGAAAGTATGTAAAAAAATGCAGATTTTCTTTTTTGTTTTACATGTGAAAACGTGTAAAAATTTTTATCTACAATTTTTTTTGTTATATTTGAAAATATGTAAAAAAAGTAGATCTACTTTTGTAGCTACGAATTTGAACGTCGATCTGTTTGGACCGTTTAACCCTTTCAGGGTCCGTCCCGTAGATCTACGGCTTCACATTGAGTGTCCAAACCGTAGATCTACGCCAAAATTCTAGCGCCGTCAAATTTAGCGCGAAAGCTCTAATAGGCCTACATGTGAGAGAACGGGTCTGTGTGGTGGGTGTGCGCCATAAACAAAAAATCTAGGCGCCCGCATAGCATTGTGGGAACGCCGGCTCAGTTACCCCTGTTCACCATGCCTTGTCGCAAGTCAGCTCTCAGTCCCCGGAAAATTGGGACTCTCCTCTTCCTGTCTGATAGTTCTGACACTGATGGAAGTGGAAATGAAGACGAATTCTACGGCTTTGATCAGTTAGTGACCGAAAAGAATGACCAGGATATCGATAATAGTGCAGAAAACCCTGATGATCCTCAACCTTCTACCTCTGGTGTGGGCACTCGTGACTCACGGTCGGTTGTTCCTCAACGCAAGAGAAAACTAATATTTTCGTGTGGGCAGGCCTCTGACTTCAGTAATGATGATGATAGTGACGTGGATTGTGATTTTATTGCGCTCGACAATCATTCGAGTAGTGATAGTGAGGAATCATATTCACCAGTGAAGCATCGGTATGTTCGCCGCAGCATGCGCTCGGGTAGTGTACCCTATGCTGTGCCCAGGGGACAGAGTACATCCCGGAGTACATCCTGGAGTACATCCCGTGGCCCTACACCAGTTTTAGGTAGTGATAGTGAGGATGATGTGGTTACACTTGGCATGGATAGACCACAGGCATCAATGGATGGTGTTAGTGGTGATGGTAGTGGCACCGCCGTGCGTGACTCACCAGCCCAGGCTGGGACCCACGCTGCTGACTCGTCAGTTCAAGGACAAAGCGGAGCGTCAGCCACCAGCCCACCACAACCACAACCACCCGCACAACCAGCCTATGATGTCCAGTATCCACCAGCAAACCGTAATGTGGATTGGCAGCAAAATCCCAATTTGTTCCCAAGCCTCACCACTTTGATGACTTTCAAAGTGGAATTCTACCTACTTGTCCCCTTGAACCACGGCCAATGAACTGGGAAATTCTTTGAATTATTCTTTGACCAGCCATTGATGGAAACTATTGTCAGGAAAGTAATAAGTATTTTGAGTACACCATGGCAAATACGATCAATCACCACAGTCAAGACTACACAGGTGGAAAGAGACGACTGTTTGCAGAAATGTATTTGCTTTTTGCAACAATAATGCTTATGCCTCATGTCTAAAAAGCATAATATAAAAGCATACTGGTCCACAGATCGGCTAATTTCTAACCCCGTCTTCAGTGAAATCATACCAGTGAACAGGTTTATCTTACTCTTACGTATGTTGCACTTCTCTGACAAAACCAGGCCTGACAGAATGACAGGTTATACAAGATTAAAATGTTTTCATGTATCTCAAACAAAAGTTCAGCATATACTTTTATCCATTCAAGAATCTTGTAATTGACGAGTCTTTGATTTTGTTCAAAGGTAGACTGTCATTCAGCAGTATATACCGAGCAAGAGGAAACGCTTGGTATAAAACTGTTTGTACTCTGTGATTGTGACAGTGGCCTGGTGTTGGATATTGTGTATACACGGGAAGTAAAACATTGAAAGATACCAAGATGTTATTGGGTATCTCAGGTGACGTAGTGAGAAACATGATGGCACCTTACCTGGGAAGGGGCATACATTATATACCGATAACTGGTACACAAGCCCATTACTCAGTGATTTCATGTGAGTGAACAAGACAGATTGTGTGGCACAGTGCGTTCTAATCGTAAACATATGCCCAGGCTCAACGCAGGTGCTCGTGGGGATGACGTGCAGGTGTTTACTGCCAATGACATCATGGCATTATGGTGGCATGACAAACGAGATGTCACATGTTGACAACCATTCACCGTAATGAAATGCAAGACAGTGGGAAAGTTGATCGAGTGACTAATGAACGTATTCGAAAACCATGACAGTGATTGAATTTTTACACCAAACATGCGCTTGGTTTACAAATGTGACATGCAGAATTGGTTTGTGATTGTGTTCTAAGAGTTACAAGTGGTACATAAAATTTTCTTCCATCTCATGGACATTTCAATGCTCAATGCATATAATATGTACCAAATAAAGACTGGCAACAGACCACCGTATGGTGAATTTTGTTTGTCTGTTGTCAGACAACTCATAATGAAGTACCAGGTAACAACACCTGCTATACAACACGGTCCTCGAATTACTCAGGATATATCCAAGCGTTTGAGGAGGGAAGGTGATCATTTCATAATACAACTTCCTTCAGCTCAGAAGAAATTTGCTCAGAAGAGATGCATCGTCTCTGCAACAAAGACGCAAAGACACTCGGTTTATGTGTGAGGAATGTAAGGTACCTCTGTGTGAGGAATGTAAGGTGCCTCTGTGCATGGTGCCTTGTTTCAAGGAGTTCCACAAGCTCCAGCAGTTCTAAAACCATGTCCAGTGATTGTAAATATGTAAATATATGATAGAACATTAGTATTATACAATATTTGTGCAACAGTGGTAAACAATAATATGATAATAACTTTAGTGCGGTTATTGTGTTCAATACAGTGAGTATATATATATCAATTATATACAGTATTGGTCTCTCAGGCCCCAAATGTTAGTAGGAAAAGAAAAAAATTGGAAAAGAAAAGAAAAAACTATAAAAACCGCAAAATAATGTAATGCGCGTATGTGGAATTCATCGATGTTGCCGCCACCACGTCATTTTTGACAAACTTCTTGGCACTGTATCTCGGTAAGTACTGATCAGAATTTTTTTTTTTTGTCTTATTACCTTCACAAAAATATGCTCTTTAATTCTGTAAGAAAAATAATTTTTTTTTTTTTCAAAATTTCTTGGACACTGGAGCACCACTTCAGATTTTGGCCTTGGACCCTGAAGGGGTTAAGGGTTAAGTCACCCTGTCTTAGTGGGAGACAGTCAGTATTAATAATGAAAATCAAGTTTTTTAAATCTTTTGTTTTTGAGAACATAGCTCTATATACAACATATACAGTGGACCCCCGGTTAACGATATTTTTTTATTCCAGAAGTATGTTCAGGTGCCAGTACTGACCGAATTTGTTCCCATAAGGAATATTGTGAAGTAGATTAGTCCATTTCAGACCCCCAAACATACACGTACAAACGCACTTACATAATTGGCTGCATTGGGAGGTGATCGTTAAGCGGGGTTCCACTGTACTTCGTTTGGGAATACTTGATCTTTCTGCGCTTTCTTCCTTTTGAGGGGGGGGGGTGCCTTGAAGCTAATTAATGGCTCTTGATCCAGGGGAATCAGAGCTACCCTTCCCATATCTTGGACCAAACCTGTTCCCCAGTTAGATGAAGTGAGTTTAGAATATCATATTCTGCAGACCTCAAGCTGAGAACACTCGGTCATTGTCACATGACAACGGGGCATGTGGGTATACAACACTTGATAAATTAGAAACGTATGCAGCACTTGGGCAACTTTATTAAGCAAACATTTTGCCACACAGTGGCTTCATCAGTTCTATACAAAGAAGAATGTGAAGATCAGGAGTTTGAGGTAATCAGTCCCTCAGGCTTGAGTCGATGTAATCAACTCCAGGCTGAGGGACTGATTACCTGAAAGAGTGAAACGTTGCCACAATACATGTATAATGTAACATTATTTGCTCATGTGTCCTTTTACGTACATATTGTCAGTAATCCTACCAACATTATTGCATTGTAATTCACGATTTTCACCTTTCACTATTTTTTCTCCTGCAAGCCGACGGTTACCCGCACCCAACTTACCAGTGGTACAAAGAAACATACGAAAATGAGGCGCTAAAGTCCAAGCTGATCAACCCCTTGGATGACAGACGCTTCACCGTGTCTGGAGGAACGCTCATCATTAATGATCCCAAGCAGGTAAGTCAGTTATATGGGCATGCCTCGTTAATTCGGTGCTCGCTTTTGGGTGCTTCGCTAATATGGCGCTTTTCGGTTATATTCGTGTTTATTATTTTCGGTGCTTGCCTTGTTCCTGGGATGGTTTTCGGCAATTTTCTATTTTTTATTCATTATTTTTAATTTTGCATCGTTTTTTTAAGCCTAGTGCTATTGCGCACTTAATAAATGATAATGTAAACATATTTTCAGGCTTTTGTATGCACTGGCAAGTGAAAAAAGGACTGTGATTTGTTTTAAGTTGGCGGTCTGGAACCTAACCAGTTGTATTAGTGAGGCATGCCTGGCCTTCAAGTGGGGAGCAGCGATGCTGAGGGTGGGCTTTTGATTTAGGAAATTGGGGCCTACCCTACGTTTTTTCAGATCAAATCTTGTTATCTCCTCTTTCTCTAGGCACTGTACAAGCCTAACATTATTAACGCTTCTCTGAATATAATAATAGGGAAGGTGGGGTAGGGGTTGCCCTAGGAAAGGTTGGAGGGAGGGGGTAAAGGAGGCTTTCTGTGCAAATGGCTTAGACATCCAGCAGGCACATCTGATTGTGTTAGAAGCAAATGGAGGCAAATGGTTTTTGGGATTAAATGAGCTGTTGGAGTAACATTTTATGAAAGGATTTAGGAAAACCGGTTAGCCAGAATTGAGTCCTGGTGGTGGGAAGTACAGTTCATGCACTCTGAAGGAGGGGTGGGAATATCTGCTGTTTTGAGCTGTAGTATCAGCACGTCTCTGGCAATACAGTGATTAAGTGAATGATGGTGAAAGTACAGTGGACCCCCGGTTTACGATCACCTCCCAATGCGACCAATTATGTAAGTGTATTTATGAAAGTGCGTTTGTATGTGTATGTTTGGGGGTCTGAAATGGACTAATCTAATTCACAATATTCCTTATGGGAACAAATTCGTTCAGTAATGGCACCTGAACATACTTCTGGAATGAAATAATATCGTAAACCGGGGGTCCACTGTATTTCTTTTTTGAGTCACCCTGCCTTGGTGGGATATGACTGGTTTGTTGTAAAAAATAATATAAGCCTCCAGGATGGACTGAAATGCAAAAATATTCTGCAGATTGTTGGCTGTTAAACATTTAATAACACACCTCAGTTTAATGGACTTGGAGAGTATTAGACAAAATCAGTCGAGTCAGTTGATTCGGAAACACCACCAGACAAGTTCGTTTTTTTTTTTTTTTTTTTTTTTCAACAAGTCGGCCATCTCCCACCGAGGCAGAGTGACCCAAAAAAGAAAGAAAATCCCCAGAAAGAAAATACTTTCATCATCATTCAACACTTTCACCACACTCGCACATAATCACTGTTTTTGCAGAGGTGCTCAGAATACAATAGTTTAGAAGCATATATGTATAAAGATACACAACATATCCTTCCAACTGCCGATATCCCAAACCCCTCCTTTAAAGTGCAGGCATTGCACAAGTTCGGTTATGGAGTTCTATTTATTGTTGCAATGATGGCAAAGGAGTTTCATCTCTGTCTACCACAATCACTGGTACTGGCAACTGTTTCTCTCCCTGTTAGTTCCATAAATTGAGGGCTAGTTTCCATGCTGACAAACTTGAAACTGCCTTATCGTGATTGTAATGATATAACAAGGAACTCAGAAAATCATACTATCACGATTGCAAACAAACCACAGAATGGGTGTGGTTTGAATCCATGGCAGATGAGTTGTGAAGCTTCAAGTCAGCTGGCCTAGTGGCTTACACACTGGCCTGGAGTTTACAACTCGCTTTGAACTCCATCCTCACATGAGTTGGGTTGAAACCCACCTGTTTCATGGTTTATAATGAGGAACATTGTTGCTATGAACTACTGACCCAATCACAGGGTATACACTTGTACAATATTGAGAGGAATTGACAAGGTGGATAGGGACAGGAATTTTTCAGAGATGGGGCACAGCAACAAGGGGTCACAGTTGGAAGCTGAAGACTCGGATGAGTCACAGGGATGTTAGGAAGTATTTCTTCAGTCATAGAGTTGTCAGGAAGTGAAATTGTCTGGAGAGTGATGTAGTGGAGGCAGGATTCATACATATCTTTAAGAAGAGTTATGATAAAGCTCATAGAACAGGGAGAGAGGACCTAGTAGCAACCAATGAAGAGTTAGGGCCAGGAGCTATGACTCATCCCCCTGAAACCACAATTAGGTCAGTACACATACATTACCTCTCTACCTTTGTCATTAATTATCTAACAGTGGTCACACTTCCAAACATTAACTGTCTTCGATTTTTTTGCTGAAAAAGTTATTGCTTTTAGCATGCTAGCCGTCTCCCCCCACGCTCCTCCCCCCAAAAATGGTCACAGAAACGAAAACACATTCACCATCATTCATTCGATAGCTGTATTGTCAGAAGTATGCATGCATCATGGTTCAGATCCCCCTCTGAACATATTCACCCCTCCTTCAGAGTGCAGATACAGGCACATCCCTAATACAGCACTCTTCATTTTTTTTTTTTAACAAACTGGTCGTATCCCACCGAGGCAGGGTGACCTAAAAAGAAAAAACGAAAGTTTTCCTTTTTAAATTTAGTAGTAACATATACAGGAGAAGGGGTTACTAGCCCCTTGCTCCCAGCATTTCAGTCACCTCTTACGATACACATGGCTTACGGAGGAAGAATTATATTCATTCAGTTATATTCGTGTTTATTATTTTTGTCATTTGCCTTGTGACTTTCACACATGCTTACCGGTCAGGTCGGGGCCAGTTTCACACATGGTTTTTGGGCCAGTTTTTTCACACATTATGGGCCGTTTTTCACAACTGTTGGGTCATTTTCACATTTGTTTGGGCCAGATTTATAGTTAGTTTGGGCCAGGTTTTATCTTACAATTGTATTAGGCCAGTTTTTTACATTGGTTGGTCCAGTTTTTCACATATGTTTGGGCCAGTTTCATACATTTTTGTGCCAGTTTCGATACATGTAAGGCCCCATTTTACACATGATTGGGCCACTTTACACCTGAATATGCTGCTGCATCCTCTTAAAAGTGTGGATTGATTGTGCAACTGCTGCAGCATTTTACCAGGTTTGGAACCTGCATTGAATAAAAATTCCTTAGGGTGTAAGTGCATTTGAAGGGATACCTATAATGCTTTAAGAAGAGGTATGACAAAGCTCTTGGAGTAGGGAGAGAGTGGAACCAGTAGCGACCAGCGAAGAGGCGGGGCCATGGTGCTTGACTCACCCCCTACAACCACAAATAAATGAGTACAAATGTAAAGGTTTAAGCATTTGTAATGATGATGCAATTTTACAGGTAGAAGACCGGGGCAAGTATCACTGCCGAGCGACCAACATGTTCGGCTCGGTCACGTCTGAGAGCATCCAGCTGTCATTTGCATATGTTGCCGAGTTCAACCTCAAGCGATCCAACGAACAAGGCAATCAGTTCTGGGGAAAAGCCATCTACTGTGATCCACCACAGCATTTCCCTGGTAGGAGAGCATGAACTTAGTTAAATGCTAATGTGTATTTTATGAAGGTTAAATAACTGTGCTATAACATTTGCACGGTTCTTTTACCTGCAAATATTATTCTTTTTTAATATAGACAGGTTAAGTCATGGTGCCATGATATATACATGCTTCTTTGACATGCAAATTTTTTTTTATATAGATAGGTTAGGTAACTGCTGTAATATACTGTATACATGTTTCTTTTACACGCAAATAATTTTTTAATGTAGACAGGTTGAGCAACTGCTTCATGATACAGTCATGTGCCGCATAATGACATTTCAGTCACTGACAGACAGCATGTACGACGGTGCACCCATGTGCTGCCAGTCGTGTAAAAATATAGCACATACAATTATGTACAGTACATAATACGGTGGCACCCTGAGTTTTGAACTGCTCCCAATTCGACCAATTATATAAGTGTATTATTGTCAGTGCTATTGTAAGTATATTTTTGGGGGTCTGAAATGGAATAATCTAATTTACATTAATAATAATAGATAAAGAATCACACATAAAGTGGGAGTTGTCACAGTTGCTCTTTGCTGATGACACTGTGCTCTTGGGAGATTCTGAAGAGAAGTTGCAGAGGTTGGTAGATGAATTTGGTAGGGTATGCAAAAGAAGAAAATTAATAGTGAATACAGGAAAGAGTAAGGTTATGAGGATAACAAAAAGATTGGGTGATGAAAGATTGGTTATCAGATTGGAGGGAGAGAGTATGGAGGTGAATGTATTCAGATATTTGGGAGTGGACGTGTCAGCGGATGGGTCTATGAAGGATGAGGTGAATCATAGAATTGATGAGGGGAAAAGGGTGAGCAGTGCACTTAGGAGTTTGTGGAGACAAAGAACTTTGTCCTTGGAGATAAAGAGGGGAATGTATGAGAGTATAGTTTTACCAACGCTCTTATATGGGTGTGAAGCATGGGTGATGAATGTTGCAGCGAGGAGAAGGCTGGAGGCAGTGGAGATGTCATGTCTGAGGGCAATGTGTGGTGTGAATATAATGCAGAGAATTCGTAGTTTGGAAGTTAGGAGGAGGTGCGGGATTACCAAAAACTGTTGTCCAGAGGGCTGAGGAAGGGTTGTCGAGGTGGTTTGGACATGTAAAGAGAATGGAGCGAAACAGAATGACTTCAAGAGTGTATCAGTCTGTAGTGGAAGGAAGGCGGGGTAGGGGTCGGCCTAGGAAAGGTTGGAGGGAGGGGGTAAAGGAGGTTTTGTGTGCGAGGGGCTTGGACTTCCAGCAGGCATGCGTGAGCGTGTTTGATAGGAGTGAATGGAGACAAATGGTTTTTAATACTTGACGTGCTGTTGGAGTGTGAGCAAAGTAACATTTATGAAGGGGTTCAGGGAAACCGGCAGGCTAGACTTGAGTCCTGGAGATGGGAAGTACAGTGCCTGCACTCTGAAGGAGGGGTGTTAATGTTGCAGTTTAAAAACTGTAGTGTAAAGCATCCTTCTGGCAAGACAGTGATGGAGTGAATGATGGTGAAAGTTTTTCTTTTTCGGGCCACCCTGCCTTGGTGGTCCACCCTGCCTTGGTGGGCCACCCTGCCTTGGTGGGCCACCCTGCCTTGGTGGGAATCGGCCAGTGTGATAATAATAATAAAAAAAAAAAAAAAAATAATAATAATAATAATAATAATAATAATAATAATAATAATAATAATAATATCTTTATTTACTGCAAGTACATGTACAAGGTATACAGTCCTAGCTGACAACAATGACATACTACTATATAGAAACTCCCTTGTTATGCTCCGCATTTCGGGCAAATTAGGTCAGTGTCCCAGGATGTGACCCACACCAGTCTACTAACACCCAGGTACCCATTTTACTGATGGGGAACATAGACAACAGGTAGAAAGAAACACGTCCAATGTTTCTACTCTGGCTGGGAATCGAACCCAGGCCCTCGCCGTGTGAAGCGAGAGCGTTAGCCACCAGGCCACTTGAACAGCCTTCTGGAGCGAAGACAGTTTGAAACTCGGGGTACCACTGTACTTGATGATGATAATAAATGATAATGATGATATAACATTGATATACGCAATACAGAAGATTCTCAATATGTTTGTGAGTCAAGGGCTTACTGTATGATACTGGTTTATGTATTTACTATACTTTAATTTTTATCGTTATTCTAGAGTGTACTCTTTCTCCTTATAAAAAAAGTTTACTGTTAACCCTTAACCCTTTCAGGGTTTCGGCCGTACTAGTACGGCTTAAGCACCAGGGTCCATGACGTAATAGTACTCATAAATTTTAGTGCCTTCAAATCTAGTGAGAGAAAGCTGGTAGGCCTACATATGAAAGAATGGGTCTATGTGGTTAGTGTGCACAGTATAAAAAAAATCCTGCAGCACAGTGCGTAATGAGAAAAAAAAACTTTGACCGTGTTTTTGGTTTAAAACGGTGACTTTGCACTATATTTTCGTATGGTATTTATTGTTGTATTCTAGTTTTCCTGGTCTCATTGTATAGAATGGAAGACATATTACAGAAATTGAGATGATTTTGACTGGTTTTACAATGAAAAGTACCTTGAAATTGAGCTCAAAGTAGCAGAAATGTTCGATTTTTACTTAAGTTCAAAAGTAAACAAATCGTGCCAAGCGTCCAATACACGTCAACTGGTGAGTCTAATATTCTTTCACAAGTGCGCTGATATTATTTATACCATTTCTACACTAATGCAGTAGTCTGCATAACAGTAAATCTTCTATTTTTTGTGAGAATAAAAATTCAAAGTGGAAAGCAAAAGAAATGTAAGAGGGGCCTGGGGACCTGACTAATGAACAGAGGAAATGTTATTTTAGTGCCAGGAATGTCTTTCTTGTTTATTCTGGACTCTATTCAGAAATTGGCATCTTTTGAAATTTGTGTGAAATTGGCAAAATTGCTAAATTCTGACCACTGTATTGGATAGTTGAAATCAGTAAATTGGTGGTTTCTTGTACTCATTCGATAGAAAAAATGGAGTTCTAGCGAAATAGTTATGATTTTTGTCGACTAGTACATTGGAATTGACCGAAAATAGGGCTCAAAGTGGGCAAAATCGTCGATGCGTAAACATCGTTGAGACTGCTAACTTCGCAATAGCATAATTCCATAAGTTTTCCATCAAAGTTTATACTTTTTGTGTCATTATGATCGGGAAAAGATTCTCTATCTTTTCATAAGAAAAAATAATTTTTTTTTTATTTTTGAAATTTGGGGGACCCTGAGAACAAGTCTCTGAGAGGGCCTGTGGATCCTGAAAGGGTTAAACTGTCCAAACATAAATCTACATTTGCTTGCATAGCGCTCTGAACGTAGATCTACGTTTTTTTCCATGCTTCCTTATGGAGAAAATCAAGGTCGGAGCACTACGCGCACAAACGTAGATCTACGTTTGGACAGTTTAAGGGTTAAACACTGTGCTGTGTTACACTGGCAGTGGCCTCTTACACTCAGTAACATTTGCACAGTGATAGTCGCCTAACAATGCATTTCTCAGAGTGTATCCCCATTGTTAAATGATGAATAACTATATATACATATATCCAGTAGTCTCCCTCAAGGTATCCATGGGGGATATCTTTTAAGACCTACCATGGATACCTGAAACTGTGGATAGTAGCCAACCCTAAATAAAAGTCACTTTTGTTTACATGCATATCCATGATAAAGTTTAGTTGATAAATTATGCAAAATAAGTCTAGAATTACCACTTCTTGCCTGATGGGCAGCACTTTACAGCTTCTCGTAGGCTTTGAAGAACTCCCATCTTCACTACTTTTGCACTTTGGGCCATGGTAAACTGTGGATAACTGAAACTGTGGATACTGACTACATGGAGATGGCATCTCTACTGTACATGTTTCTTTAATACGCAGATTATTTTTCCTTACAGATGTGCACTATTACTGGGCAAGGGACTACTTTCCTAATTTTGTTGAGGAGGACAGGAGAACTATGGTGTCATACGATGGCAACTTATACTTCTCATACTTGGACTTCATTGACATCGGCAAATACAGCTGTAACGTTCAGAGTACCGTCTCTGGTATCGGCAAGAATGGTCCGTTCTTCAACCTGGAAATTTATCCACATCGTAAGTCAATTTTAGTACATAAATTGTTATTGATCGATAAAAATGTTTTGTGTGCAAGTGGCTTGGACATCCAGCAGGCACGTGTGAGCTTGTTAGATATGAGTGAGTGGAGGCAAGTAGTTTTGTGGATCTAACGATCTGTTGGAGTGGGAGCAGGGTAACATTTTGTGAAAGGATTCAGGGAAACTGGTTAGCTGGACTTGAGTCCTGGAGGTAGGAAGTACTATGCCTACACTCTAAAGGAGAGGTTTGAGATTTTTTGCTGTTTGGAGTGACATCTGACCTGTCATATCTGTATGCCTCCAGCAAGAGAGTGAATTATGGTGAAAGTGGTAGCAGTGTGACTTTGTAAATGGTCCAAGTCGACTGAAACGTCATCATAAGCTCCTCTCTCTATGTGCAGGTTAAAAATAGGTATTTAAAGGTATTTTTTAGGATGGTTTTAGGGTATACATCCATATCACGTACAAAAAAGGTTAAAAATAGGCATTTTAAGGTATTTTTTAGGATGGGTTTAGGGTTTTATTGGCTGTTTCTTGGTATTATTTGATAGAATGGAAGACATAGTACTGAAATAGAGATGATTTTGGTTGGTTTCAGGATCAGAAGTAGTGTCAAATTAGACTCCAAGTATGTATTGGAAATGTAAAGATTTGGCCGATTTTCCTTAGGACAGGAAAGGCACCCCCTCCATACACCCCCTGGCCTGTTTTCTGGGTTTTTAATAGGTCTGATTCAATAATTGGGTCACTGTAAACCATGATCAATCATTCCTAATTATATTTTAATATCTAAAAAAATAGAGTAAATTTTTTTTTTTTTTTTTTTTTATTATCACACCGGCCGATTCCCACCAAGGCAGGGTGGCCCGAAAAAGAAAAACTTTCACCATCATTCACTCCATCACTGTCTTGCCAGAAGGGTGCTTTACACTAAAGTTTTTAAACTGCAACATTAACACCCCTCCTTCAGAGTGCAGGCACTGTACTTCCCATCTCCAGGACTCAAGTCCGGCCTGCCGGTTTCCCCTGAACCCCTTCATAAATGTTACTTTGCTCACACTCCAACAGCACGTCAAGTATTAAAAACCATTTGTCTCCATTCACTCCTATCAAACACGCTCACGCATGCCTGCTGGAAGTCCTAGCCCTTCGCACACAAAACCTCCTTTACCCCCTCCCTCCAACCTTTCCTAGGCCGACCCCTACCCCGCCTTCCTTCCACTACAGACTGATACACTCTTGAAGTTATTCTGTTTCCATTCTCTCCACATGTCCGAACCACCTCAACAACCCTTCCTCAGCCCTCTGGACAACAGTTTTGGTAATCCCGCACCTCCTCCTAACTTCCAAACTACGAATTCTCTTCATTATATTCACACCACACATTGCCCTCAGACATGACATCTCCACTGCCTCCAGCCTTCTCCTCGCTGCAACATTCATCACCCACGCTTCACACCCATATAAGAGCGTTGGTAAAACTATACTCTCATACATTCCCCTCTTTGCCTCCAAGGACAAAGTTCTTTGTCTTCACAGACTCCTAGTGAGTGATGAATTCAAAATGGAAGACAAGTGTAATATAGGAGAGGCTTTAGGATGTGATTAATGAACAGAGGAAAGGTGCTGTGGCATACCTGAATAATGTATATTAGAGCTGATTTCCTCTATTCTGTTTATTACAATATACATTACACTACTGTAAAAACTTTTAAAAATATGCCAGAAATGTTATAAATGGTGCAAAGGTGACATTAACCCTTAAACGGTCCAAACAGATCAACGTTCAAATTCGTAGCTACAAAAGTAGATCTACTTTTTTTTTACAAATATATTTTCAATTACAGTGGACCCCCGCTTTACGATCACCTCCCAGTGCGACCAATTATGTAAGTGTATTTATGTAAGTGTGTTTGTACGTGTATGTTTGGGGGTCTGAAATGGACTAATCTACTTCACAATATTCCTTATGGGAACAAATTCGTTCAGTACTGGCACCTGAACATACTTCTGGAATGAAATAATATCGTAAACTGGGGGTCCACTGTATAACAAAAAAAAATGTAGATAAAAGTTTTTTTTACACGTTTTCAAATGTAAAACAAAAAAGATCTACATTTTTTTACATACTTTCAGATGTTGAAAAAATGTATATAGTATACGTTTGGACCGTTTAAGGGTTAAAACATTAAAACATTAAAACCACTACCATTATTGTATGCGTCTTGCTTAGTGATGAATTCATTTACTGACGTGGTTTTAGGAGTGGAACCGTGTCGTTAGTGAGGAGAGGCTGTACCGTACCTTAATTTTTAATGATGGCTATGTGTTTTGCTCTAAAGACCGTGTTTTTTCCTCCTACAGCTAACTACCAGCAGCTGAAGTTTGCTAACAACTTTCCTAAAGCCTTTCCTGAAGCTCCAATAAGAGGTGAAGATGTCAGGCTGGAGTGCATTGCTTTTGGATAGTAAGTGCTACTGTGTGTGTGATTCTCATTACGACATAACCTGCACACAGGAGAGACTTAAAATGACATTTCAGACCGACTTGGACCGTTAACGTCACACAGTGTGTGGCTAGTTAATGGTTAAAGTCAGACCAAAAGTTGTCATAAATTTCCCTCTCCTATATCTGGGTTATTTGTGTATTGTTCTGGTCACAGTGGTGGCCCATGCTAACCTCCCTATGGTGTATAGAAATACAGTGGAACCTCAAATATCGAACTTTTTTCGGTCCAGAAGGCTGTTCGAGTGCCTTTACCGAATGAATTTATTCCCATCAGGAATAATGTAAATTAGATTAGTCCATTTCAGACCCTCAAAAATACACTTATAAAAGCACTTACAAAAATACACTTACATAATTGGTCGTGTCGGGAGCAGTTCGATTTTTGAGGTTCCACTGTATATCTAGTTGGATGAATCTTATTAGAGCCAGCTGGTTAGGTGGTTAATGCATTGGCCTGTGAAATTTAGGACTCACTTGTCATGGGTTTAAACCCCACCTGTTTCCTACATGTATGTGACACCAGTCAGTCTTAAGACCACAGCTTATACATATCCTCTTTTTTTCATAAAAACTACACTTCTGGCTTAAGATATGTAAAATATTACCTTGGCTGTAAAGTTAATTACAGGAGGGCCCTGCTTTTATGGCTGTTAGGTTCCCAAGTCCCGCTGGTTAGCGAAATTCACTGGTGAGTTGAAAAATACGTTTTTTTTCAATATTGGTGTCATCTACAATGCCTGAAAATGTGTTTACACTATGATATATTAAGTGCTTAGTACAGCTAGGCTTAAAAAAAGTTACAAAAGTAATTAAACAGTACATACAATATATTTACCTCATTATATGGTGTGGGTCGCCCTTTTCTTATGCAACTGTTGTGTGAAAACAGCGAAAGGCTGGAAAAAGCACTCGCCTCTGGCAAGACCATAATGGAATGAGTGATGATGAAAGTGTTTCTTCTTTTTTGGGTCACCCGGCCTAGGTGGGAAATGACCGATGTATTAATAAAAAAATAATGAATGGTAGTTCAATTGAAAACTGCCATAAAAGTGGGACACCAACAAAGAGGGAGCCAGAAATGTGGGGCCCTTGTGTATTTTACTAATTTTTGTACCACTGTCTCTCCAGCCCAGTGCCAATGTACAACTGGACTCGCAGAGATGGTCAGCTGCCCCGAGGTGCCCAGCTGCTCAATTATAATAGGGTCTTGGTGCTGCCTAAAGTAGAGCCCTCAGACATTGGTGACTATGTGTGTCGTGCTCAGAACTCCAAACTGGCCATAGAAAATACTATCTCTCTCAGCATACAAGGTGTGTATTTCTCTGTATTCTCTCTCAGAATTCCAGACTGGTCATAGAAAATACAGTGTCTCTTAGCATATAAGGTGTGTATTTCTCAGTGTCAGAATCAGGATTTTAGACATGTTATAGAAAATAATACTGTCATCCTTCAAGGTAGAGTACATCATTCCCTGTGTCACACAGATAATACTGTCATCATTCAAGGTAGAGTACATCATTCCCTGTGTCACACAGATAATACTGTCATCATTCAAGGTAGAGTACATCATTCCCTGTGTCACACAGATAATACTGTCATCATTCAAGGTAGAGTACATCATTCCCTGTGTCACACAGATAATACTGTCATCATTCAAGGTAGAGTACATCATTCCCTGTGTCACACAGATAATACTGTCATCATCAAGGTAGAGTATATCATTCCCTGTGTCACACAGATAATACTGTCATCATTCAAGGTAGAGTATATCATTCCCTGTGTCACACAGATAATACTGTCATCATTCAAGGTAGAGTACATCATTCCCTGTGTCACACAGATAATACTGTCATCATTCAAGGTAGAGTATATCATTCCCTGTGTCACACAGATAATACTGTCATCATTCAAGGTAGAGTACATCATTCCCTGTGTCACACAGATAATACTGTCATCATTCAAGGTAGAGTACATCATTCCCTGTGTCACACAGATAATACTGTCATCATTCAAGGTAGAGTACATCATTCCCTGTGCCACACAGATAACCCACACACAGGGAAGGGAAGCTTGTGAGGATGTTTTGGTCCGACTTGGACCATTTACAAGTCACAGTAACACAGTGAGGAAGCCGGTATATGTAGGGGAGTGGAACAAGGATGTGAACAAGAGAGGGAGAAGAGGTAATTGTACCTCTTCTCCCTCTCTTGGAAGTAGTGGTACTAGAAAGTAGGGAGAGTAGTTTAGTGGCACAAGAGAGTAAGGGGAGCAAAGCAAGGTAATAGTAAAGATAGTAGCAATAGTAGAAGAATGTAGATGTAGTAGTAATAGTAGAGGAATGGAGATGTAGTAGAAGTGAGGCCAAACTGCCCTTAGAAATACTCTTTCTGTCAGCCTTCAAAGGTGCATATTTTCTTGTGTTGCTCAGAACTAGATTTGTTATACTAAATACTTCGTTTTCAGAGTTATTGTCTTTGCGAATTTTTTTTTTTTTTTTAACGAACTGGCTGTATCCCACCGAGCCAGGGTGACCTAGAAAGAAAAATGCAAGTTTTTCTTCTTAACCCATAAACGGTCCAAACGTATATATACGTTTTTTCAACATTTGAAAGTATGTAAAAAAAGTAGATCTTTTTTTTTTTACATTTAAAAATGTGTAAAAAACTTTGATCTAATTTTTTTTTGTTATATTTGAAAATATGTAAAAAAAACATAGATCTACTTTTGTAGCACTACACATGTGAACGTAGATCTGCTTGGACCATTTACGGGTTAAATTTAGTAATTTACACAGGAGAAAGTGTTACTAGCACCTTGCTCCCAGCATTTAGTAATTTATACAGGAGAAGGGGTTACCAGCCTCTTGTTCCCAACATTTTAGTTGCCTCTTATGACACGCATGACTAACGGAGGAAGAATTCTTTTCACTTCCCCATGGAGATATATACAGTGGACCCCCGCATAACGATTACCTCCGAATGCGACCAATTATGTAAGTGTATTTATGTAAGTGCGTTTGTACGTGTATGTTTGGGGGTCTGAAATGGACTAATCTACTTCACAATATTCCTTATGGGAATAAATTCGGTCAGTACTGGCACCTGAACATACTTATGGAGTGAAAAAAAATCGTTAACCGGGGGTCCACTGTATATATATACAGTGGACCCCCGGTTAACGATATCGTTATGCGGGGGTCCACTGTACAGTGGACCCCCGCTTAACGATCACCTCCAAATGCGACCAATTATGTAAGTGTATTTATGTAAGTGCGTTTGTACGTGTATGTTTGGGGGTCTGAAATGGACTAATCTACTTCACAATATTCTTTATGGGAAAAAATTCGGTCAGTACTGGCACCTGAACATACTACTGGAATGAAAAAAGTTCGTTAACCGGGGGTCCACTGTATTTGTGTTTTATAAATCCCAGTTCCTATAATTTTGATACACAGTGGAACCTCGGTACATGACCAGCTGCCTAGTTGAACAAAGCTCAGCGCACGACCAAACAAATACAACCTGCCAGAACATAGCTGTAAACTATTTTGTGTTTCTTCAAATTTTTTGGTGTTTTTTGTATTATTTGTATAAATAAGTCGCTATGGGGTCTACAACAATTAGTGATAACAGCCAACCAAACAGAAAATTGGTTGGGAAGAACTTGTTAGAAGTATTGGGAAGATGGAGGGAATATTTTGAGGAATTGTTAAATGTTGATGAAGATAGGGAAGCTGTGATTTCGTGTATAGGGCAAGGAGGAATAACATCTTGTAGGAGTGAGGAAGAGCCAGTTGTGAGTGTGGGGGAAGTTCGTGAGGCAGTAGGTAAAATGAAAGGGGGTAAGGCAGCCGGGATTGATGGGATAAAGATAGAAATGTTAAAAGCAGGTGGGGATATAGTTTTGAAGTGGTTGGTGCAATTATTTAATAAATGTATGGAAGAGGGTAAGGTACCTAGGGATTGGCAGAGAGCATGCATAGTTCCTTTGTATAAAGGCAAAGGGGATAAAAGAGAGTGCAAAAATTATAGGGGGATAAGTCTGTTGAGTATACCTGGTAAAGTGTATGGTAGAGTTATTATTGAAAGAATTAAGAGTAAGACAGAGAATAGGATAGCAGATGAACAAGGAGGCTTTAGGAAAGGTAGGGGTGTGTGGACCAGGTGTTTACAGTGAAACATATAAGTGAACAGTATTTAGATAAGGCTAAAGAGGTCTTTGTGGCATTTATGGATTTGGAAAAGGCGTATGACAGGGTGGATAGGGGGGCAGTGTGGCAGATGTTGCAGGTGTATGGTGTAGGAGGTAGGTTACTGAAAGCAGTGAAGAGTTTTTACGAGGATATTGAGCTCAAGTTAGAGTATGTAGGAAAGAGGGAAATTATTTCCCAGTAAAAGTAGGCCTTAGACAAGGATGTGTGATGTCACCGTGGTTGTTTAATATATTTATAGATGGGGTTGTAAGAGAAGTAAATGCGAGGGTCTTGGCAAGAGGTGTGGAGTTAAAAGATAAAGAATCACACATAAAGTGGGAGTTGTCACAGTTGCTCTTTGCTGATGACACTGTGCTCTTGGGAGATTCTGAAGAGAAGTTGCAGAGATTGGTGGATGAATTTGGTAGGGTGTGCAAAAGAAGAAAATTAAAAGTGAATACAGGAAAGAGTAAGGTTATGAGGATAACAAAAAGATTAGGTGATGAAAGATTGGATATCAGATTGGAGGGAGAGGGTATGGAGGAGGTGAATGTATTCAGATATTTTGGAGTGGACGTGTCAGCGGATGGTTCTATGAAAGATGAGGTGAATCATAGAATTGATGAGGGGAAAAGGGTGAGTGGTGGACTTAGGAGTCTGTGGAGACAAAGAACTTTGTCCTTGGAGGCAAAGAGGGGAATGTATGAGAGTATAGTTTTACCAACGCTCTTATATGGGTGTGAAGCATGGGTGATGAATGTTGCAGCGAGGAGAAGGCTGGAGGCAGTGGAGATGTCATGTCTGAAGGCAATGTGTGGTGTGAATATAATGAAGAGAATTCGTAGTTTGGAAGTTAGGAGGAGGTGCGGGATTACCAAAACTGTTGTCCAGAGGGCTGAGGAAGGGTTGTTGAGGTGGTTCGGACATGTAGAGAGAATGGAGCGAAACAGAGTGACTTCAAGAGTGTATCAGTCTGTAGTGGAAGGAAGGCGGGGTAGGGGTCGGCCTAGGAAAGGTTGGAGGGAGGGGGTAAAGGAGGTTTTTTGTTCGAGGGGCTTGGACTTCCAGCAGGCATGCGTGAGCGTGTTTGATAGGAGTGAATGGAGACAAATGGTTTTTAATACTTGACGTGCTGTTGGAGTGTAAGCAAAGTAACATTTATGAAGGGGTTCAGGGAAACCGGCAGGCCGGACTTGAGTCCTGGAGATGGGAAGTACAGTGCCTGCACTCTGAAGGAGGGGTGTTAATGTTGCAGTTTAAAAACTGTAGTGTAAAGCACCCTTCTGGCAAGACAGTGATGGAGTGAATGATGGTGAAAGTTTTTCTTTTTGGGGCCACCCTGCCTTGGTGGGCCACCCTGCCTTGGTGGTCCACCCTGCCTTGGTGGGAATCGGCCAGTGTGATAATAATAATATAATAATAACTTGTTCAATACTCAGAGCGGTACTCGAACTGCCTTCTGGAATGAATTAAGGTCGCATACCGTGGGTCCGCTGTATAAGGAATAGTGCACTTTTCTCTTATGTTGTGCGACTCTCACAACTAGATTTCTTATAGTAAATACTTAATTTAAATATCCAAGTTATTGGCTTCTTCTGTGTGAAAAAGTTGCTTTGCAAGTGATATATATATATTCATTCTCCACAGGGAAGTGGAAAAGAATTTTTCTTCCGTAAACCGTGTGTGTTGTAAGAGGCGACTAAAATGCCAGGAGCAACGGCCTAGTAACCCCTTCTCCTGTATAAATTACTAAATTTAAAAAGAGAAACTTTCGTTTTTCTTTTTGGGCCACCTGCCTTGGTGAGATACGACCAGTTTGTTGAAAAAAAAATATATATATATATATATATATTCATTCTCTATAGGGAAGTGGAAAAGAATTTTTCTTCCATAAACCATGTGTGTTGTAAGAGGCGACTAAAATGCTGGCAGCAAGGGCTAGTAACCCCTTTTGTATACATTACTAAATTTAACCCTTTCACTGTTGGTGCCGTAGTACTACGGCTTACATGCCAGTGTTGGTGTTGTAGTACTACGGCTTACATGCCAGTGTTGGTGCTGTAGTACTACGGCTTACATGCCAGTGTTGGTGCTGTAGTACTACGGCTTACATGCCAGTGTTGGTGCTGTAGTACTACGGCTTACATGCCAGTGTTGGTGCTGTAGTACTACGGCTTACATGCCAGTGTTGGTGCTGTAGTACTACGGCTTACATGCCAGTGTTGGTGCTGTAGTACTACGGCTTACATGCCAGTGTTGGTGCTGTAGTACTACGGCTTACATGCCAGTGTTGGTGCTGTAGTACTACGGCTTACATGCCAGTGTTGGTGCTGTAGTACTACGGCTTACATGCCAGTGTTGGTGCTGTAGTACTACGGCTTACATGCCAGTGTTGGTGCTGTAGTACTACGGCTTACATGCCAGTGTTGGTGCTGTAGTACTACACCAAAATTCTAGCGGCTTAAAATCTAGCAGGAGAAAGATGGTAGACCCACATATGAGAGAATGGTCAGTGGTCAGTGTGCACAGTATAAAAAAAATCCTGCAGCACGCAGTGCATAATGAGAAAAAAAAAACTGATCATGTTTTTGGTTTAAAACTGACTCTGCAGCATATTTTCGTATGGTATTTATAGTCGTATTCTCATTTTCTTGGTCTCAATCGATAGAATGGAAGATATATTACAGAAATAGAGATGGTTTTGAATGGTTTTCTGTACCTTGAAATTGAGCTCAAAATAGCAGAAATGTTTGATTTTTGTCGATATTCAAGAGTATACAAATCATGCCATGCATCTAATACACATCAACTGGTGAGCCTAATATTCTTTCACAATTATTATTATTATTATTATCACACTGGCCGATTCCCATCAAGGCAAGGTGGCCCGAAAAAGAAAAACTTTCACCATCATTCACTCCATCACTGTCTTGCCAGAAGGGTGCTTTACACTACAGTTTTTAAACTGCAACATTAACACCCCTCCTTCAGAGTGCAGGCTCTGTACTTCCCATCTCCAGGACTCAAGTCCGGCCTGCCGGTTTCCCTGAACCCCTTCATAAATGTTACTTTGCTCACACTCCAACAGCACGTCAAGTATTAAAAACCATATGTCTCCATTCACTCCTATCAAACACGCTCACGCATGCCTGCTGGAAGTCCAAGCCCTCGCACACAAAACCTCCTTTACCCCCTCTCTCCAACCTTTCCTAGGCCGACCCCTACCCCGCCTTCCTTCCACTACAGACTGATACACTCTTGAAGTCATTCTGTTTCGCTCCATTCTCTCTACATGTCCGAACCACCTCAACAGCCCTTCCTCAGCCCTCTGGACAACAGTTTTGGTAATCCCGCACTTCCTCCTAACTTCCAAACTACGAATTCTCTGCATTATATTCACACCACACATTGCCCTCAGACATGACATCTCCACTGCCTCCAGCCTTCTCCTCGCTGCAACATTCATCACCCATGCTTCACACCCATATAAGAGCGTTGGTAAAACTATACTCTCATACATTCCCCTCTTTGCCTCCAAGGACAAAGTTCTTTGTCTCCACAGACTCCTAAGTGCACCACTCACTCTTTTCCCCTCATCAATTCTATGATTCACCTCATCTTTCATAGATCCATCCGCTGACACTTCCACTCCCAAATATCTGAATACATTCACCTCCTCCATACTCTCTCCCACCAATCTGATATCCAATCTTTCATCACCTAATCTTTTTGTTATCCTCATAACCTTACTCTTTCCTGTATTCACTTTCAATTTTCTTCTTTTGCACACCCTACCAAATTCATCCACCAACCTCTGCAACTTCTCTTCTTCTCTACCATTTTTACAATAATGCAGTAAATAACAAAAAAGGCACAATACCGTGACTGAAACGATACACAAATAACCCGCACATAGGAGAGAGAAGCTTACGATGACGTTTCGGTCCGACTTGGACCATTTACAAAGTCCAAGTCGGACCGAAATGTCGCCGTAAGCTTCTCTCTTCTATGTGCGGGTTATTTGTGTAATAATGCAGTAGTCTGCATAACAGTAAATCTATTTTTTGTGTGAATAAAAATTCAAAATAGAAAGAGTGTAATGTAAGAGGGACCTGGAGACGTGACTAATGAACAGAGAAAATGTTATTTTTGTGCTAGGAATGTTTACATTGTTTATTCTGGCCCCTATTTTGAAATTGGCCTTACTTGAATTGTATATGAAATTGGCCAAATTACCAATTTCTGATAACTTTATTGGGTAGTTGAAATCAGTAAATGAGCAATTTCTGTACTCAATTGATGGAACAATTGGAGTTCTAGCAAAATAGCTATTGAGTTTTGTCGACTGGAACAATGGAACTGGCAGAAAATAGGGTTCAAAGTGGGAAAAATCAACGATGCGTAAATATTGCTGAGATCACTAACTTTGCAAGAGTGTAATTCCATAAGTTTTCCACTAGATTTCATACTTTTGGTGCTATTACCATCAGGAAAACATCTCTATCATTTTATAAGAAAATATAATTTTCTTTTTTTTTAAATTTTTCGACACAGAGCGAGAGTTTAGAATCGGGTCGCGACAGTGAAAGGGTTAAAAAGAAAAATGTTCATTTTTCTTTTTAGATCACCCTGCCTCGGTGGGATACAGCCGGTGTTGGAAAAAATATATATATATTCATGTTTTATAAATTCTAGTTTCCATAATTTTGATATACAGCCTCTCCTCATTTAGTGACATACTCGTTCACTGACGACTTGGACATACGACAGACACTTTGACCAGTTATGCATACCTAAATAGTGTATATTAGAGCTGATTTCCTCTATTCTGTTTATTTCAATATACAGTACACTACTGTATAAACATTTAAAAATATACCAGAAATGTTATAAACGATTCAAAGGTGACATTAAAACAATATCAAAGATTGTTGACAAAAACCCACTACCATTATACAGTGGACCCCCGGTTAACGATATTTTTTCACTCCATAAGTATGTTCAGGTGCCAGTACTGACCGAATTTATTCCCATTAGGAATATTGTGAAGTAGATTAGTCCATTTCAGACCCCCAAACATACACGTACAAACGCACTTACATAAATACACTTACATAATTGGTTGCATTCGGAGGTAATCGTTATGCGGGGGTCCACTGTATTATGTTCCTCACTTAGCGGTGAATTTGTTTGCCGACGTGGCCTTAGGAACAGAAATCTGTCGTTAAATGTGGAGAGGCAGTATACGTGAAAGTGTACCTGTCATATGTTTTGGTTTGGAGTTGTCTCAAATTTTAAAAAAATTCCCCTTTTTTGCAGCTAAACCAAGTTTCACAATTCGTCTGCACGACCAGTTTATCGCTAAAGAAGCCGACCTGATGTGGGAATGTGAGGCTTTTGGCATCCCTGATGTGGACTACGAGTGGTTAAGAAACTCAGAGCCGCTCACGTTCGACTCTCTATCAGTGGAAGAAAGGAATCGTTACGAAATTGTCGTAAGTGTCTTTCATGTTTAGCGGGTAGTAGATGGGTAGTCATGCTGTTTATGATGTAAATGAAATGCAAAACATGTGATGTACAGAATGTAGAATAAAAAGCGACAATACCGTGACAAAAGTTCACAAATAATCTAAAGATGAAAGTAAACAATAAAGGAGAAAAAGTCACAATACCGTGACTGGAACAATATGCACATAGGAGAGAGAGAGAGAAACTTAGGACTACATTTTGGTCTGACTTGGACCGAAACATGTCAGACTGGTTAATGGTCCAAGCCAGGCCAAAACTTCGTCGTAAGTTTCTCCTACGAGCAGGTTATTTTTTAAACTAAATGTTTTCATTTGTACTGGGGTTTTCAGTGGTCGAGGATAGTCTCACAGTATTTTCTAGTATGTAAGGTGCACAAGCATACAAGACGGTGTTTCCAAGCAGTTGTAACGTAACGTTGGTAAACAAGTGTAACCCAAAGCCTTCCCTTGATCCTGACCTTGAGCATATAAAGCACAGGCCGATTTCCCAAGGCTCTTCGGGAAGAAAGCACACTTTATATGCCGGAAAATATGGTATGTGTTGTACATTTACGTCTCTTAAAATGTAGATAATTCAACCGTTATGAAGTGGTAAACAGTGAACCCTTAGCACACTCCTTTGCTCACTCCTACTTAACACACATGAGGACCTATAAGAAGTAAATATTTATTATATTGTAGTACACCATTGACCCCTCAGGTGGGCACTTTAATGCTGGTGAAGGGCTATTGATCAAAGGAATTGGAACAACCCTCTCTGAGATCAAACCTGATCTGTACATTATGTAGTTGTCCTGTTACTTGTTCTGTGCTTGTGTTTGCTTGTAAGATGACCTGCATCACTGGGTTGTGATGGCTGTGTGGGCCAGCAGGTTGCTAGCAGCAACAGCCTGGTTCACCAGGCAGTCATCAAGGAAGCCTAAACTCAGGATGGACTGTGAGGGCAGGAAAATCCCTCAAAACTGGTCACAGGTATAAAGTGGAAGTCTCCTGACCCTATATCATACCTTTACTTAGGACTTGCTGCGGTATGGTGACGGTAGTGTATGTACACCAGTTATGTACGCTTGCAGGTTTAGGTTAGGTAAGGTTCGCCAGCAAACAGTACAAGTGTTTCCCAAAGCGGGTCTTAGATGATGACCTGCCGTTGGAGCTTTTAGTCATCTGACCGAGGCCTTCTGCTAGCTTACCAGTCCACTCCTTTAAAAATTATGGTCAGTTATATATACACTTGTATATGTACACCCTTCAACCGTTAAACTGTGAGGGTTAGCATATTTTCAAATACAGGAAGGCTTAACATATACAGTGCCTATTTATGTTGGCTTTGATTATGTTCCACCCGTGGGTGGAACATAATGAAAAATGGCTCATTTTGTAACTAACGAAATATGGAACACTGAAAATATGGTGTATGTATATGCGAGGCCCTGTGAGAGCTGACGCTGGTCCACTGTGCCTCACTTTCAGTCTTGACCTGGAGCTCAGAGTGGCTGGACATGTGTGGGACCTGGAGTTCAGAGTGGCTGGACATGTGTGGGACAGGTTTCTTTGAGGGACTCCATAAAACTGTAGAAGAGCAGGAATAACTTTCATTACAACCTACGTCACTCATTCAAGGACCCCACAACAATTATTTGGGTTCTCTTCTTGGTCAGCACCTATTATGGTGTTGGCTCTGTTCTTGATTAGCACCTATTCTATTATGGTGTGGGTTCTCTTCTTGGTCAGCACCTATTATGGTGTGGGTTCTCTTCTTGATCAGCACCCATTCTATTATGGTGTGGGCTCTGATCTTGATCAGCACCTATTCTATTATGGTGTGGGCTCTGTTCTTGATCAGCACCTATTCTATTATGGTGTGGGCTCTGTTCTTGATCAGCACCTATTCTATTATGGTGTGGGCTCTGTTCTTGATCAGCACCTATTCTATTATGGTGTGGGCTCTGTTCTTGATCAGCACCTATTCTATTATGGTATCATGTGGGATTCGAACACGTGGATAGGGTAAAGTAATACTCACGTAGGCTGGAAGTACGTATAATTACGGATAATGTGGGGAGCGCCCTAACAGCCGTAACCTTGTCTCCTTGCTCACTCTCGTAACACTGACTGGCCGCCCACAGTACCCATATGTGAGGGGGTCTTTGAATACTGCTGTGGTCAGCACAATATGAATACAGACAGTGATTCAGGCAGAGACGGTTGGTAGTGAGTCATCTACTGGTACACTGGTTACTGGTAACTGGTTACTACTACTGAGAGCTGCAACTTCAGACTTGCAAGATAGTGTCCAGTTACCTCAAGTGTCCGAGGACGCTCTGACTTTGAGTGCTGAGCCTATCCCTGCAATGTCTGCTAGTTCAAGTAGTAGTTTCTCCACAGGGGACGCCTTGTCGGAAAACAATTACTTGCAACTAGTAATGCCATCTCTTGTTGATGTCACATGCCGTCTGCAGAAAGACGTTTCTGTCGCAGCTAGTGCCCTCACTAGAGTGTCTGTAGTTGTTCCTAGTGTTCCAGATGGTGATAACATCCTAGTTGACAGTGATTCCTGCAAAGTAAAAGGTCTATTTGTTGAACCATCCTTACATGTTGTAAGAGATAGTAAGATCCATTTCTTCCTAGCCAACACTTCTGGTCACAGTGTTCGCCTCAGAGCAAATACCAATCTTGTTGACCTTGTTCACTATCCTTACCCTGTTCAGGTAGAGGACGAGTTGTCACCTGACCAGTGGGTCGGTGCTATTTCTACCGGGGAGACCTCATCCACTTCACTGGATCAATCTGTTCCACCAGTTGAGGAGAAAGACTTAGCTCCCACTGACTTCCCAGATGAAGTCAAGCGTTTGTTGACTCTGTTGAACAAACGTCGTAAAGCCATTGCCTTACCAGGTGAGAAGATGGGTATAACGAACTTATTGTCCCATCGTATTCCACTTGAACCTGGTACTAGACCTATCTACATACCTGCGTACAGAATGCCTCATTCACAAGTTGCTGTTGCAGAAGAATTGATCAATCAAATGCTTGATGATGGAGTTATTGCACCTAGCAATTCACCTTGGAATGCACCCTTGATCCTAGTACCTAAGAAGGATGGTACTTGGCGCCCAGTGATTGACTTTAGGAAGTTAAACGCGAAAACCATTCCAGATCGCTTTCCACTCCCTGTACTGGGTGATCTTTTACGTAACATCGGAGATAACAAAGTCTTTTCAACCCTGGATTTGTTACAAGGGTTTTGGCAAGTCCCTCTTCACGAGGACAGCCAAGAGCTAACTGCATTCTCCACTCCTACAGGTCATTATCACTTCCTCCGTATGGCGTTTGGATTACGATCCTCCCCTATCACGTTCTCAAGGCTCATGACTAATATCTTTAGAGGTCTCATAGGTAATGCACTTATGGTGTACTTAGATGACATAATCGTCATGTCTAAAGACGTGGATACACACTTGAAAAGACTTGATGTAGTACTTGGTAAGCTTGAAGAAGCCAATTTAAAGATCAAACTGTCTAAATGTCAATTTTTCAGATCAGTCACTCCTAGAGGGGTTACGACTGACCAAAGTAAAGTAACTGCAGTACTAAATTTTCCAACTCCCAAAACTGCTGATGCCGTAAGATCCTTTGTGGGCTTAGCAGGTTTTTATAGATCTTTCATTACCAATTTTTCTTCCATAGCTGCTCCTCTAACTGAGTTGCTTAAGAAAGATGCTCCTTTTGTTTGGACCTTCCGTCAAGAAAGAGCATTCCAAACTCTAAAAGAAAAGCTAACATCTGCTCCAATTTTGAAATTTCCAGATTTTTCTAAGCCCTTCTATCTGACAACTGATGCTAGTTCAATTGGCATAGGTGCCGTACTAGCTCAGAAGACCGATGGCAAGTACAACGCAGTTGCATTTGCTAGCCGAGTCCTTACGAAGGCTGAACGTAATTATACAGTAACTGAGCAAGAAGCTTTAGCAATAGTATGGTCTTTAAAGCACTTCCGAGACATTTATCAGTACTCTGTTCATGTCTTGACAGACCATGCTCCACTGATACCTTTATTCCAGAACAAACAACCTACTGGAAGGTTAGCCAGATGGACCTTGACTATCCAAGAGTTCAATCCCACCGCTGCCACCATTTATCATGTGGGATTTGAACACGTGGATAGGGTAAAGTAATACTCACGTAGGCTGGAAGTACGTATAATTACGGATAATGTGGGGAGCGCCCTAACAGCCGTAACCTTGTCTCCTTGCTCACTCTCGTAACACTGACTGGCCGCCCACAGTACCCATATGTGAGGGGGTCTTTGAATACTGCTGTGGTCAGCACAATATGAATACAGACAGTGACTCAGGCAGAGACGGTTGGTAGTGAGTCATCTACTGGTACACTGGTTACTGGTAACTGGTTACTACTACTGAGAATGGTGTTGGCTCTGTTCTTGATCAGCACCTATTCTATTATGGTGTGGGCTCTCTTCTTGATCAGCACCTATTCTATTATGGTGTGGGCTCTCTTCTTGATCAGCACCTATTCTATTATGGTGTGGGCTCTCTTCTTGATCAGCACCTATTCTATTATGGTGTGGGCTCTCTTCTTGATCACCTATTCTATTATGGTGTGGGTTCTCTTCTTGATCAGCACCTATTCTATTATGGTGTGGGCGCTGTTCTTGATCAGCACCTATTCTATTATGGTGTGGGCTCTGTTCTTGATCAGCACCTATTCTATTATGGTGTGGGCGCTGTTCTTGATCAGCACCTATTCTATTATGGTGTGGGCTCTGTTCTTGATCAGCACCTATTCTATTATGGTGTGGGCTCTGTTGCTGATCAGTTATAAATATCCTCTTCTGTCCCAAGCTGAATCTTGGGTACCTGAAGGAAATAATCTTTGTATACCTTTGGGTTTCTGTTGTATGGATATACCCATGTGCATTCCGTCTGATAAGCAGTGCCTCTACTGTCTCAGGTGTGAGTAGAACGATTCCATGGAAAATCGAATTTTCACCACTTGAAACACTGTCTGGGGCCATGCTGATGGGGAAGGCAGTACAGTGGACCCCCGGTTAACGATATTTTTTCACTCCAGAAGTATGTTCAGGTGCCAGTACTGACCGAATTTATTCCCATAAGGAATATTGTGAAGTAGATTAGTCCATTTCAGACCCCCAAACATACACATACAAACGCACTTACATAAATACACTTACATAATTGGTCGCATTCAGAGGTAATCGTTATGCGGGGGTCCACTGTATTTCAGTAGTTTCTCCAGCTGTTATGATTAAGCTGCCAATGGAAAGCAGGGGTGCAGTAGGCGCAATAAAGGAACACTGTATCAATGTCCATGGTCCCAGACTATTCAACATATGACCAGAAGATATTGGAAACACTGCTTGGACAAGTGTAGAAGTCTTGAAAAGGAAATGGGACAAGTATCTTCACCAGGAGCCAGATCAACCAGGCTGTGATGGATATGTGGTTTGGTGGACCACCAGCAGTAACGGCCTGGTTGACCAGGCAGGCACCAGACGAACCTGGCTCATGACCAGGCTCTGTGAGTACATACTCTTGGAACTCATCAAGGGTATATCATAGGTAAGGTATGAGGTTCAGAGCATTGTGGGAGCCCTAGATAATGATTGCCGCAACAAGCAAACATAACGTAACTCTGGATTTTTACGTGTGATTTTATCCATGACTTGTTGTTAGGTAAGACACATATGCAACAGTTAGGTATCTTTATTATGAAACGTTTCGCCTACACAGTAGGCTTCTTCAGTCAAGTACAGAAAAGTTGATATTGTTTCATACTATGGAACAATGCTCTTCTCCAGACTGAGGGACTGACCACCTCAAAACTTTAAGGGTGATGGACTGATTACATCGTCTTCAAGTATATTCTGCTTCTATCAACTTTTCTGTACTTGACTGAAGAAGCCTACTGTGTAGGCGAAACGTTTCATAATAAAGATACCTAACTGTTGCATATGTGTCTTACCTAACAACCTGTCGGTATTTTATACCATTTTAATGTTTTATCCATGACTTGTTGAAGGAACTTATGGAACCCAGCCTGAGGCCATGATTTCCCATTGGCCATCTGGCCAACCAGGCTGTTGGCATTAGCAGCCCATAGGTCCACAGGAGGAAGGTGTCCTATTACTTATACCTTATCATACCTTGATTTACCTTTGATGAGTTTGAAGTATATTCGGAGCGCGGCCATGGGTCCAATTCATCTGGTGCTAGCCTGGTCATCCAGGCTGTTGCTGGTGGTGGTCTGCTGTCCCACATATCCATCACAACCTGGTTGATCAGGTTGTGATGGATACGTGGGACTTTAATGAGGGTTAGAATAATGTTCTAGTAAAAAATCCATCTTTCATTAGGGTCAAAACAGTTTTTTCTAAATTTATCATTGTTTATTTCTGAAATTTGTTCTAAAAAATATTTTTCTCAAAATACACCTACCATCCGACTTACGACCACTCGATTTACGACCGTATTTTTTTTGCCAAATTTCTGGGAAATAAACCAGTATTTGTGTTGTACACAGTGTTTATCCTAAACCTTACAGTATAAAATACAATACTAACAGCATAAAAAGTAAAGTAAAACATGAAATACCAAAATAAAACAATAAAATAAAGTCATTACAAAAATGTGACTTACGACCGGTTTCTCGGAACCGAACTCGGTCGTAAGTCGGATGGTAGGTGTACATTATTTTCAGTGGAAAAACAATTTTTTTTTAACAAATTGGTTGTTTCCCAATAATGTAATAGTAATAATTTTAAACAATAATAATAATAATAATAATAATAATAATAATATTTATTTCTACAAGTACTTGATACAATTTATACAGACCATAGTTGACAACAGTGGCATAATATATAGAAAGCCCCTTGTTATGCAGAGCATTTCGGTGTCACGTAGCTCGATTAGTGGCGCACTCAGTTCACACATTCAGGTCCGTGGTTCTATCCCCAGTATGAGTAGAAACATTAGGACGTGTTTCCTTAAGACACCTGCTGTCCCTGTTCACCAGCAGCAAATAGGTACCTGGGTGTTAGTCGACTGGTGTGGGTCGCATCCTGGGGGACAAGATTAAGGACCCCAATGGAAATAAGTTAGACAGTCCTCGATGACGCACTGACTTTCTTGGGTTATCCTGGGTGGCTAACCCTCCGGGGTTAAAAATCCGAACGAAATCTTATCTTATCTTACCATCACTCACTCATTAGCTATCTTGCCAGAAGTGCACGGATATTACTGTTCATATTCTAATGTAATCTTTTATATTTGACCTTTAGGACAGTGTGCTGAAGATAAAGGGAGTTATAGAAGCAGATGAGGCCACCTACCAGTGTAAAGCCACCAATCAGCTTGGTTCCTCGTTCTCGTCTGCCCAACTTAAAGTCTTAAGTATGAATAAGTTATTCTATACAGGAGGGCTCTGTTTTTATGGCTGTTAGGTTCCCAACCCACAGCGATGAGCAGATATCGCTTGTGGGTGGAAAAGAGCAGTTTTTTTTATTATCAGTTGCATCTAAAACGCTTGATAACTTGTTAACATTATCATATACGGGAGTGCCCCATTTGTACGGCTCTTAGGTTGAAATTAAGACACATGTGCAACATCTGGGTATCTTTATTATAGACGTTTCGCCATCCACTGGATGGCGAAACGTCTACAATAAAGATATACAGATATTGCATATGTGTCTTAATTTCATCTTGTCGGTATTGTATACCATTCTTTTACGGCTCTTAGGTTCCTGACCACCAGCGGGTGGAAAAGAAAATTTTTTCATTATTAAATACATCTAAAGCATCTAAGAGATCTTATTTGTGCCCTGTGGGAGTTTACGTAAGTTTGTTATGAGAAAGGTGGGATAGTGGTCTGTGGAGTTACCTGTGATAATGCCAGCTCTTAGTGCGGATATAGTGTTAGTCCAGATACGGCCAAGTAGTGATGCACTTGTCTTGGTGATTCCTGTTGGTATGGTTATAGATGGTAGGAGTAAGCAGTTGCTCATAGTGTCGGTGAATTCAGTTACTTGTGGGTCGTGTTCATCGATGAGGTTAATGTTGAAGTCTCCTGTAAGTATCAGGTGATGTTTATTCATCTCTGTATCAGTTATTGTGGATCTTAGGTTTTTGTTAAATGTGTAAATATTTGAGTGAGGTACTCTGTAGAAAGCTCCAATTGTTATGGTTTTTTTTTTAAGGTTTTTGACCATGAATTTTGCAAATGTATATTCACCATTATCATCCCTGGTGCAGGTAGATTTGATGCATTCAAGTTCATCAGAGTAGTAGATTGCTGTGCCACCTCGTATTTGATTGGGCCTATAGTTGTGTATGGCTGTGCAACCAGGTATAGCAAAGATGCTTGCAGTGTCACATTTAAGCCAGGTTTCAGTGAGAGTTATGATTGACATACTGGCATGCAGGGAACTGAGTAATGCTAGGAGGTCATCAAAGTGCTTACTCAATGACCTGACATTATAAAATCGAATACTGTTATATTATCATTGGTACTGAGTAGTGTCTTGGCCTGGCTTGCAGTGTAGTAAAGGCAATTATTGTCAGGATTGTTTATGTCATGTAATAAGAGGTTAATATCAGGATCGATGTTAACGTACATATGACTAATGAAGAATATATGTATTACTAATAAGAAGGATTGAAATATTGACTTAGACAACTTGTATAAAAATATACAAGTTGTCTGGTGGCCTGTATCTTGTGGCCTGTATCTGGTGGCCTGCACTTGGTGGCCTGCACCTGGTAGCCTGCACCTGGTTGCTTGCACCTGGTGGCCTGTACCTGGTGGCTTGTATCTGGTGGCCTGCACCTGGTTGCCTGCACCTGGTGGCCTGTACCTTTTGGCCTGCTCCTGGTGGCCTGCACCTGGTGGCCTGCACCTGGTGGCCTGTACCTGATGGCCTGCACTTGGGAGTTTGGAAGGCAGGCTGCGAGGTATAATAGTTATATAACAAGTGAATAATTATGCATGGCGATTTCTGGAATGGTAGTACAAAATTAAGTCACAGTCAATTGCGTGAGAAACGTAAACCAGTGAGGCAGTTGATACTATCTGGCAAATGATAGTACATGAACCAGCACAATAATGGAGTAATAACATACACTACACGTAGTATAATGATTTGGACACTGTGGTTAACCCTTAAACTGTCCAAACATAGATTTATGTTTACAAGCATAGTGCTCCAACCTTGATTTTCTCCATTTCAAAGCATGTAAAAAAACGTAGATCTATGTTCGGAGTGCTACGCGATCGAATGTAGATCTACGTTTTGACAGTTTAAGGGTTAATCAGTTTCTGTAAGATTTGCATCTTGAAGGAAGCTGGACAGTTCATTTCTGCCACAATTGCAATAGTATTTTTTTGTTCTGTGATTTTATCCTTTGCATCACTGGAAATGGCTACAGTTTCCTTCTGAAGGGAATTGCATTTTCACTTAAACTCCTCTGTTTGGTTTTTCAAGTCATCCATTATTGTCCCAGGTAGTGCTGGCTACCTCTTTTATTCCTCTTTTCTCTCTCTTTTTGAGAGTGCCTTTGCCCTCTTGACACATTAAAAATGTTGTGTCCATATGTGCATGTATGCATGTGGTATGTGTGCATGTGCACTTAAAGGTGGATTTGTTACTTCTTTCTTTCAACACTCCGGCCGTATCCCACCGAGGTGGGGTGGCCCACCGAGGCGGGGTGGCCCACCGAGGCGGGGTGGCCCACCGAGGCAGGGTGGCCCACCGAGGCAGGGTGGCCCACTGAGGCGGGGTGGCCCAAGAGGAAAAACAAAAGTTTCTCCTTTTACATTTAGTAATATATACAGGAGAAGGGGTTACTAGCCCCTTGCTCCCGGCATTTTAGTCGCCTCTTACAACACACATGGCTTACGGAGGAAGAATTCTGTTCCATTTCCCCTTGGAGGTAATTGGAAATAAATAAGAACAAGAACTAGAAAAAAAGTAGAAGAAAACCCAGAGGTGTGTGTATATATATGTTTGTACATGTATGTGTAGTGTGACCTAAGTGTAAGTAGAAGTAACGAGACGTACCTGAAATCTTGCATGTTTATGAGACGGAATAAAAAGACACCAGCAATCCTACCATCGTGTAAAACAATTACAGGTTTTCATTTTACACTCACTTGGCAGGATGGTAGTACCTCCCCTGGGTGGTTGCTGTCTACCAACCTACTACCACAGGATGGTAGTACCTCCCCTTCCCTGGGTGGTTGCTGTCTACCAACCTACTACCACAGGATGGTAGTACCTCCCTGGGTGGTTGCTGTCTACCAACCTTCTACCACAGGATGGTAGTACCTCCCTGGGTGGTTGCTGTCTACCAACCTACTACCACAGGATGGTAGTACCTCCCTGGGTGGTTGCTGTCTACCAGCCTACTACCTAAATGGATTTGTTACTGTATGTGTGTATTTGTTTGTGTGACTGTATTTGATGAGTCTACTTTTCCTTTATTGCTCACAAACCATACCACGGGTGGGGTTAGAACCCGCGATCAGAGAGTCGCAAAACTCCAGACTGATGTGTGGCTAATGCGTTGGTCTGGATTTTTGTAAGAACATAAGAAAGAAGGAACACTGCAACAAGCCTACTGACCCATGCAGAGCAGGTCCATGTCGTCCCCTCCCCCTGGATTAGCCCAATGACCCCTCTCCCCCGGATTAGCCCAATGACCCACCCAGTCTGGTCACCTCCACTCAAGGATGGAGCATGGCACCAGACCCAGCAGCACAAGCTAGTCAGGTCCAACTCACACCCACCCACACCCACTCGTGTATTTATCTAACCTATTTTTAAAACTACACAACGTTTTAGCCTGAATAACTGTACTCGGGAGTTTGTTCCACTCATCCACAACTCTATTACCAAACCAGTACTTTCCTATATCCTTCCTGAATCTGAATTTTTCCAACTTGAAACCATTGCTGCGAGTCCTGTCTTGCTGGAAATTTTCAGCACGCTATTTACATCCCCTTTATTTATTCCTGTTTTACATTTATACACCTCGATCATATCCCCCCTAATTCTACGCCTTTCGAGAGAGTGCAGATTCAGGGCCCTTAGTCTATCTTCATATGGAAGATTTCTGATACATGGGATCACGGGTTCTAACCCCACCCATGGTATGGTTTGTTTGCAAACATGTCATTACGATTTCACGAGTTGTATTGCTCACAAAATAGTAATAACATGATTGCAGACTTGCCGTTGGCTTAAATCCCATCCGTTCTGTGTTTTTTTACCTTTATAACATGGCTGAACACATCGTGAAATGTTATTCATATCTGTAGGAGGAGTTCGAGATATTTGCTGTTTAGAATGACATCTAATCTGTCATATCTGTGTGCCTCTGGCAAGACAGTGATGGTTTGAATGATGGTGAAAGTGTTTCTTTTCCAGATCACCCTGCCTCGGTGGGAGGTGGCCAGCATAGTAAAAAAGAAAAAAATCTGTAGACATGCCTAGTACAAAATATTCCCACGTAAAACAAATTATCATATACTAATGGCAAAGAAATTTGCTTTGAATCCCTGTTGAGGGCTTCAAGACCACTAAACCTTCTAGGCTTCCAGGGAAGTGAATTTCATAGCTGCTAGTCAATGGCAGTTATAAAACACCGGAGAAAGAACCTCTTATAGGCAGGCCCCACTTTACAGCGCTTTGCTTTACAGCTTCTTGCTAATGCAGCGGTTTTCAGTTCTAGCCATTCTTCATTTATTCACACTTCCTACAATATATTCACCATTCACTGTAAGCTAGGGATAAAAATATTTTAAGGTAGGTGATGTGTGTACTGTATGTATTTTTTAGGCCTAGCTCTATTGCTCACTTAATATATGATACTGTAAACATGTTATCAGTCTTTTATATTTATTTGAGAGTGAAAAAAAGCTGTGATTCACTTTGTTTTTCACTTTACAGTCGTAGCCTGGAACCTAACATACTGTATAAACAGGGCTCTCCTGTACTAACTAGACCTGGCACACAGTAGTGAATCATACTGGTTGTATACACAAATAACCCGCACATAAAAGATAGAAGCTTATGACAACGTTTCGGTCCGACTTGGACCATTTACAAAGTCACACTTACCAGAAGTGGAGCAGGACGGCTATATATAGGCAGGAAGAGGTGGTGGTGGACTACTACCACCACCACCTCTTCCTGCCTATATATAGCCGCCCTGCTCCACTTCTGGTTAGTGTGACTTTGTAAGTGGTTCAAGTCGGACCGAAACGTCGTCGTAAGCTTCTCTCTTTTATGTGCGGGTTATTTGTGTATTGTTCCAGTCACGGTATTGTGCCTTTTTTTGTTATTTATCCTGGCTGTAGTCCTGATACCAAGACTTGTTTTTGGTATACCAGCTGACTGCAAATCTACGATGTACTGTAAACAGTGGCTTCTTGACGCATCCTCACCGAAGAGCTTTTTCTTGTCAGTTTTTGGTTAAGCTCATTTTTCTAACCTTGGTTACTTTGTCAAATATTTGTATGGCTACTGACTGACACTGTCATGCACGCTGACTGTTGAGAGATTCCCAGGACCAGTCCAGTGACAGTAAGTATTCGGAGCATTGCTGGTGGCTGTATATGTGCACCCACTCCTGCTTGTGTGTGTGTACTCACCTAGTTGTGATTGCAGGGTTCAAGTCACAACTCTTGGACCTGCCTCTTCATAGTTGCTACTAGGTCACTCTTCCTGCTCCATGAGCTTTATCATACCTCTTCTTAAAGCTGTGTATGGATCCTGCCTCCGCTACATCACTTCCCTGACTATTCAACTTTCTGACAACTCTGTGACTGGAGAAATACTTCCTAACAATCCTGTGACTCATCTGAGTCTTCAACTTCCAACAGTCTGTGTGTTCATGTGTGCAGAAAAGAAAGAGAGAGAGAGAGAGAAAGAAAGATTGACTTAATCACTTAAGTCCTTCTTTTTATTGTTAAATGATTATCTTCTTATTTCTTCAGAGTTGGCTCCCACTTTCCGTAAGAAACCTCTGGAGGCTGAGATGTACGCCTCTGAAGGCAAAAATGTCACTATTGTCTGCAATCCTGAGGCTGCTCCCAGACCTACATTCGTGTGGCGGCAAAATGGATTAGTCATCGGAAACGGTATGTTATGTTCGGTTATTTTGGAGGGGCCTAAAGAAAGATGAAATATGCTTTCAGGCAGTTACCATATTTTCTGGCAAATAAGGTGCATTTTTTCCCACAAAAAATCTTGGAAAATCAGTCTGTGCCTTATATGCTCAAGGTGAGGGTCAACTGTAGGGTTTGTGTTGCATTTTAGCAGTTGTTTACTAGTGTTATATTACAACTGCTTGGAAACATCGTCTTATATATCTCATGTGATCGTACACTTTATCTTCTTTCAATGCACCAGCCGTATCCCACCGAGGCGGGGTGGCCCAAAAAGAAAAACAGAAGTTTCTCTTTTTAAATTTAGTAATGTATACAGGAGAAGGGGTTACTAGCCCCTTGCTCCCGGCATGTTAGTCGCCTCTTATGACACGCATGGCTTATGGAGGAAAAATTCTGTTCCACTTCCCCATGGAGATAAGAGGAAATAAACAAGAACTAGTAAGAAAAATAGAAGATAACCCAGATGGGTGTGTATATATATTCTTGTACATGCAAGTGTAGTGTGACCTATGTGTAAGTAGAAGTAGCAAGATGTACCTGAAATCTTGTGTGTTTATGAGACAGAAAAAAGACACCATCAATCCTACCATCATGTAAAACAATTACAGGCTCCCATTTTACACTCACTTGGCAGGATGGTAGTACCTCCCTGGGCAGTTGCTGTCTAGCAGCCTTCTACCACAGGGCAGTAGTACCTCCCTGGGTGGTTGCTGTCTACCAGCCTACTACCTAGGATCATGCACCTTATATGCTGGAAAATATGATATTGTGTTTTAAAATTAAGTGGTACTAGAGGTATGTAACATGCAGAATGTGATGCTCTAATTTTTTTTTTCAACATGTCAGCCATCTCCCACCGAGGCAGGGTGACTTAAAAAAAGAAATACTTTCACCATCATTCAAGATATTCACCATCATTCACACATAATCAGTTTCTTAGCAGAGGTGCTCAGATACAACAGTTTCGATGTGACTCCAGACAGCCAATATCCCAGTCCCTTCCTTTAAAGTGCAGGCATTGTACTTCCACCTCCAGGACTCAAGTCTGGCTAACTGGTTTCCCTGAATTCCTTCTCAAAATATTGCCCAGCTCATACTCCAACAGTCATCAGGTCCCAAAAACCATTCATCTCCATTTACTTCTATCTAACACACACTCACGTGCCTGCTGCATGTCCAAGCCCCTTGCACATAAAACTTCTTATACCCCCTCCATTATTAACCTCTGTATATGTTTGCTTATAGTTGCATCAGAATGAGACACTAGATCAGGAAACTACAGTGATTGTATACTTGACAGGTGGCCGCCGTCGTATTCTTCGTAATGGCAACCTCATCATCGACCCAGTGTCTCGGGAGGATGAAGGCAACTACACTTGTAATGCTGAGAATACATACGGCTCGGACACCAGTTCCGGCCGACTTATTGTACTGCGTATGTAATTTCTTTGTTGCATTTCTCAGATCACAGTGAGATACACAATTAACCCGCACATAGGAGAGAGAAGCTTATGACGACATTGTGGTCAATATTGGACCATTTACATGTCACATTGACGCAGAAGAGTGTGGGAGCCAGTATATATAGTGGCTTCCTCACACTTGTGTGTTATTTGACTTTGTAAATGATCCAAGTCAGTCCGAAATGTCATCATCAGCTTCACTCTCTCTCCTACATGTGGGTTATTTGTGTATTGTTTCAGTCATGGTATTGTGCCTTATTGTTCACAATGAGATAACTCCAGAAATGGATGGAATAGCAAAGTTGTAGAAAGATGGCCATAATATAGGGAAAGTTGTACAAAACCTGATGACCTATTTATATTTTTTTAACACGCCGGCCGTCTCCCACAGAAGCACGGTGACCCAAAAAAGAAGAAATGCTTTTGTAAAGTTTCTTCTTTTTAAATTTAATAATTTATATAGGAGAAGGGGTTACTAGCCTCTTCCTGCCAGCATTTTAGTGGCCTCTTACATCTCTCATGAGTTGTGTAAGAAGCATTCTTCTTCACTCACCCCTTCCTGCCAGCATTTTAGTGGCCTCTTACATCTCTCATGAGTTGTGTAAGAAGCATTCTTCTTCACTCACCCCTTCCTGCCAGCATTTTAGTGGCCTCTTACATCTCTCATGAGTTGTGTAAGAAGCATTCTTCTTCACTCACCGCTTCCTGCCAGCATTTTAGTGGCCTCTTACATCTCTCATGAGTTGTGTAAGAAGCATTCTTCTTCACTCACCCCTTCCTGCCAGCATTTTAGTGGCCTCTTACATCTCTCATGAGTTGTGTAAGAAGCATTCTTCTTCACTCACCGCTTCCTGCCAGCATTTTAGTGGCCTCTTACATCTCTCATGAGTTGTGTAAGAAGCATTCTTCTTCACTCACCCATGGAGAATTTATAGAATTATTATTGAAAGAATTATGGGTAAGACAGATAGTAGGATTGCAGAGGAACAAAGATTTTAGCAAGGATGGGGAGGATGTGTAGTCAGTGTTTACACTGAAGTATATAAGTGAACAATATATGGATGAAGGTAAGGAACTTTTCATTGTATTTTGGATTTAGGAGTGGAGGTACATGTGGGATGGTAGGTGGAGGTACATGTGGGATGGTAGGTGGTGGTGGAACATATGGGATAGTAGGAGGTGGAGGAACATGTAGGATGGTAGGAGGCAGAGGAACATGTGGGATGGTAGGAGGCAGAGGAACATATAGGATGGTAGGAGGCAGAGGAACATGTGGGATGGTAGGAGGCAGAGGAACATATGGGATGGTAGGAGGCAGAGGAACATGTGGGATGGTAGGAGGCAGAGGAACATGTGGGATGGTAGGAGGCAGAGGAACATATGGGATGGTAGGAGGCAGAGGAACATGTGGGATGGTAGGCAGAGGAACATATGGGTTGGTAGGAGGCAGAGGAACATGTGGGATGGTAGGAGGCAGAGGAACATGTGGGATGGTAGGAGGCAGAGGAACATATGGGATGGTAGGAGGCAGAGGAACATGTGGGATGGTAGGCAGAGGAACATATGGGTTGGTAGGAGGCAGAGGAACATGTGGGATGGTAGGAGGCAGAGGAACATGTGGGATGGTAGGAGGCAGAGGAACATATGGGATGGTAGGAGACTGAGGAACATATGGGATGGTAGGAGGCAGAGGAACATGTAGGAGGCAGAGGAACATATGGGATGGTAGGAGGTGGAGGTACATTTGGGGTGGTAGGATTTGGAGGTACATGTAGGATGGGAGGAGGTGGAGGTACTTGTAAATGATTTGGGGTGGGATAACAGATCTTAATCTGTAAAATTAACACTAAAACAAAAGTGTATCAATAAGAACACGTATTTACTGTTTGAGCAGGTAAGCCGGAGTTTTACCTGAGTCCTCCAGAGCTAATAACAACCTCCAAGGGTGAGACTATTAACCTGGAGTGCGAGGCGCACACCGACGCACTCCTGGACACAACTTACACCTGGAGGCACAACGGTCTACGCATCGAGCTGGATGACACGGAGTATCTCCGTCACCTGGCCTACGAACAGGTACAGTTGGCTGCTGTGTCTCTTCGAGGGGAAAGGGAGGGATATGTTCACAGGTAAATTGCTCTTGATCCAAGGAATTGGTGCAACCCTCTCCTTGGATCAGGTCTGATTGCCTGCTGTCCTGCAGTGTAACATCAGCAAGTTTAACACTTGGCTGTGATTGCAACAGTAAATGTGTTGGTAACACAGTAGCTGCCCTGGATCTCTTAATTTCCATTATGTATCTTAAGTTTCCATTATCTCTGTTAAATTTCCATTATTTCTTATAAATCTTCATTATCTCATATAAATTTTCGTTATTTCTTTTAAATTTCCATTATATCTTGTAAATCCTTTTGCATATATTTCTTTTAATGTTTTCTTTGCAGTTTTTCAGTACCAGACTTATTGTTGAATAAGTTTGTGGGTAACTGGCAACACTGCAGCTATTTTCCACCTAGGATGGATAACCCAGAATGGAAGAAACACATTCACCATCATTCATTGAGTCACTATCTTGCCAGAAGTGTGCATACATCACAGTTTAGATGACCTCATGTGTAACTTCTGCACCCCTCCTTCAGAGTGCTGGCACTGTACTTTCCTCCTCCATGACTGGCTAACCGGTTTTCCCTGAATCCCTTTGTAAATGTTACCCTGCTCACACTCCAACAGCAAATCAAGTCATTAAAAGCCACTCGTCTCTGTTCACTCCTCTCTAACATGATCATAAAGGGATGTTGGATGTTAAAGCCCCAAGCTCACAATGCCTCTCTTCAACCCTTTAGGGTCACCCCGTACCTCCTCTATCTTCCATGTCATATTTGTACACCCTCTTAGTCATCCTATTTTGCTCCATCCTCTAAATGTCCAAACCACCTTAACAACCCCTCCTTAGCCTTCTAAATTATAATATAGTATTTAAAATATTTACATGAAGGTTGATGGACAGAGTTGGGAGGGTGTGTAAAAGAAGGAAATTAAAAGTGAATATAGGGGATAAGAGTATAAAAAATTTAGGTAATGGAAGATTGGATATCAGATTGGAGGGAGGGAGTGTGGAGGAAGTGAATGTATTCAGATATTTGGGAGTGAACTTATCAGCAGATGGGTCTATGAAAGACAAATCATAGAATTGCTGACATTAATACAATCATAGAATTGATGAAGGGAACAAGGTGAGTGGTGCACTGAGGAGTCTGTGGAGACAATGCTATCCATGGAAGCAAAGAGGGGCATGTATGGGAGTATAGTTATACCAACACTCGTATGTGAATGTGAAGCATAGGTGGTGAATGTTGCAGCGAGTAGGAAGCTGGAAGCAATGTGTGGTGTGAATATTATGTAGAGAATTTGTACAGTGCCTGCACTCTGAAGGACGGGTGTTAATGTTGCAGTTTAAAAACTGTAGTGTAAAGCACCCTTCTGGCAAGACAGTGATGGAGTGAATGATGGTGAAAGTTTTTCTTTTTCGATCCACCCTGCCTTGGTGGTCCACCCTGCCTTGGTGGGAATCGGCCAGTGTGATAATAAAAAAAAAAAATTGTAGTTTGGAGATAAGGAGGTGCAGAGTTGTTAAAAGTTTTATCCAGAGGACTGAAGAGGAGTTATTGATATAGTTTGGACATTTAGAGAGGCTGCAACAAAACAGGATGACTTGGAGGGCTTATAAATCTATAATGGAGGGAAGGTAGGGTAAGGGTTGTCCTAGGAAAGGTTGGAGGGAGGGGGTAAAGGAGGTTTTGTGTGCGAGGGGCTTGGGCATCCAGCATGTATATTAGGAGTAAGTGGAGGCAAGTGGTATTTATGACTTGACTTACTGTTGGACTGCGAATAAGATAACATTTATGAAGAGATTTAGGGAAACCGGTTAGCTGAACTTGAGTCCTGGAGGTGGGAAGCACAGTGCCTGCACTTTGAAGCAGAGGTGGGGGTATTTACAATTTGGGGGGGGGAGGGGATCTGAACTGCAGCACAGGTGCACCTCTGGCAAGACAGCAGTGGAGTGAGTGATGATGAAAGCATTTCTTATTTTTTGCATCACCTACCTTGGTGGGAGACAGCCAGTTTGTTACAAAAAAAATTGATTTCTAATTTGTTGTCGTATGTATTTTTCTTTGTTGTCTGTGCAGCTAGCATTATTTTTTATTTTTATTTGTTTATTTAATTTTCCAGGGCTATGTGTATGACTTCCAAAGGAAACTCTATAATCTCTATGTAAGTACATGCCATTCATCATATATATACATATATATATATATACTTTGCATAGTACTGCATATATATATAAGATATCCTCTGCATAGTACAGCATATATCTATATTTAATATCAATAACAATACTGTGCTAGCCAAGGATTCGAACCGATGTTGTACTGACCTGCCGTTGTGAATGAGAACCACATGACGACTTAACCCACAGTCAAGTCGTCATGTGGTTCTTGCTCACAGTGGTGGGCCAGTACAACATGGGTTCAAATCCTTGGCTAGCACAGCATTGTTATTGATCAATACCACTTGTTCGTGGTTACAGTAATATATATATAATATATATAATATATATAATATATATATATAATATATACTCTGCATCTGTATATAATTTGTTGTAATTATCTGTGTTATTTTGAACAGTACCTGCAGATAATATTTTGTGGTATTCTGTTTATTAAGGCAGACGACTTTACGTTTTATTTTCTTGCGGTTCTGCTTATTATAATGAAAGACTTATGGTTATATTTTCCAACAGGACAATCCATACGAGACATCGATGTTTTTGAAACAGAGAGCACAAGAGGTGTATGTGAGCAAGAGAGAGCCTCCCTACCAGACGGTCAGTGCAGGCAAGAAGTACTCGCAAAATCGTAATAGTGCGATTCAAACAAACCAAGGAACGGGTGGGGTCTGAACCTATGGTGAGCTAACCTCCTTATGGCGTATAAATATACCTAGTTGGATGAATCTTATTGTAGCCAGCTGGTCCAGTGGCTTACGTGCTGGCCTGGAGTTTTACGACTCGCTTGCCATGGGTTCTAACTCCATCCGTTTTGTGTGTTTTTTACAGGCAAGCATTTCTAGGTAAAAGAACTCTGATGTAACTAATGTGACATTTTACTGTGGCAATGTTTCACTCACTCGGAGCTTTGTCAAGCCATTACAAGCATTGTTGTCAGGGAAAGTGGGAGGTAGGGACAAGGGAAGAGCAACTGCTACATGAACCCCATTATTCCCATTGAAAACCATGTATGAAATTCAAGAGTGCTTAAAATGAAGAAATATTACTTGCTGTTGCGGCCCCCTGCCAAACTAGCGGTTAAATAGTTAACCTGCCGGCCGGCAGTACCACTGGGTACGTCATCAAACCCAATGTGGGGACTGCTGAGCCGGCCTTAGATCAGTAAGTGCCTGAGTGCCTCACGGTGCGCATCTAAGCAGTAGGTACCTGACCACCTAATCGTACAGTCTACTGGCTTTAGAAACAGTATGTACCTGAGCGCCTCACGGTACGCACCGCAGTATTATGTACCTGAGCACCTCAGGGTACGCACCTAAGCAGTAGGTACCTGAACACCTAAGGGTACACGTCTACTGGCTTCAGCAACATTAAGTACCTGAACTCCTCAGGGTACACATCTACGCAGTAGGTACCTGACCACCTAATCGTACCTATCTACTGGCGTTAGAAGAACCGCTCACCGCAGCTCACTGAGTCTGTTGGCCTCAGTTACTTGACGGCCGCATTCAGTGAGCTTGCAGCATGGTGTTCGGCTAGCGGTGTGTCAACTGGCTTTGGAGAGGATTTACTGGACTACTGGTGATGTCTGTGGACTCACCGTCTACGCTGATCAACTGTGGGCTGGAATCATCAGATGCTGTTTAGTGGGACATTACATGAAGAAAAGGTTGGAGTGTTACACTGAACTGGACCAGGACCGTAGTGTGACACTTAGGAACGTATGATGGAGTGGAACACTGAGATATGCACAGGACCGTAGTGGAACACTGAGATGAAAAGGGTGTCGTGGGACACTGAAGATGGCCTGGTTGTAGTGTACACTGAATAGTATCATGTGACTGGCCTCGACCGGATAAGTGTCGTGAGAAACAGTTGACTGTAATATATTATTTTAAATGTTACTTAATTTATTATTTTAGCATAGAGATATATATATATATATATATAGTGACACAGTAGTGTCAAGAGAGTTGTATCCTGTGTAGGGTTACGAATTATTTATTATTTTAGTAAGATGCTAATTATAATTTATTATAGTAACATGTACATATTATCATATGTTAGTTCAAATACCTCTAGACCAAAGATAGTTGATTTTTATATATTAAAGATTAATTGATTTTAATGTGTGTATTTATGTATCCCGAACTCTTTATTACAAAAGGAGTAAATCTTGCCGTCTTCTTTTAAAAATTACTTTTTTTGTAATACTTGCCTAAACTTAAGTTAAGATTTCTGTTATACAGGAGGGCCCCGCTTTTACAGCAGGTTAGGCTTCGGGCTACTATAGGGCCCTGCTTATACAGCAGGTTAGGTTCCAGGCTACTGTATGTTCTCTAAGTGGTCATAAATTTAGAAATTCTAATTTCAAATGCATATTCACTTTTATTTTATGCAGTACACATTTTGTTTTGACTTTGCAAATAACACCTAAATTGTAAATCAGTCTTACAGTTTTGTCTAAAAGTCTGCGTATTGGGATTTTCCTCACACTTAAATTACTTATATTAAGACATTCTTATGAATATAGTGCAAGATAAATGTGGCAATGTGGATTTTTTTAACATCTCAATGATTTCAGGGTTATCGTGAAGGTCACCTGCGCATTGTGAACGTGTCGCTGGCAGATGCAGGCGTTTACGAATGTGTAGCTATGACCCCTGTGGCCAAGATTGCCATCTCCTCGACTCTCATTGTTCGTGGCCCTCCAGGACCTTGTGGTTAGTATCACGCACGCACGCACGCATGCACACACGCACGCACGCACGCACGCACACACACACTCAGATGAATCAAAGGGATGTTAGGAAGTATTTCTTCAGTCATAGAGTAGTCAGGCCATGGAATAGCCTAGAAAGTGATGTAGTGGAGGCAGGAACCATACATAGTTTTAAGGCGAGGTATGATAGAGCTCATGGGGCAGGGAGAGAGAGGACCTAGTAGCAATCAGCGAAGAGGCGGGGCCAGGAGCTGTGAATCGACCCCTGCAACCACAAATAGGCGAGTACAAATAGGAGAGTACACACACACACACACACACACACACACACACACACACACACACACACACACACACACACACACACACACACACACTCACACCACACTCACACTCTCACACACACCACACACACACACACACACTCACACTCACACTCACACTCTCACACACACACACACACTCACACACACACACACACACACACACACACACACACACACACACACACACACACACACACACACACACACACACACACACACACACACACACACACACACACACACACACACACACTCACACACACACACACACACACACACACAGACACACACACACACTTTTTTTTCTCCAACACATCTGTCATCTCCTGTCAGGACAGGGTGACCCAAACAAGAAAGAAACACTTTCACCATCACTCGACACTTTCACCATCATTCAACACTTTCACCATTACTCGACACTTTCACCATCATCGACACTTTCACCATCACTTGACACTTTCACCATCACTCAACACTTTCACCATCATTCACACATAATCACCATCTTTGCAGAGGTCCCCAGATAATATATATCAAGCATTACCTCTCCATCCACTGCAGGATTCGAACCCATACACACTGTATCAAAGTACAGTGGTACCACGAGTTTCGTACAGCTCCCAACTTGAACAATTATGTAAGTGTATTATTGTAAGTGCATTTGTAAGTGTGTTTTTGGGGATCTGAAACGGATTAATCTAGTTTACATTATTCCTTATGGGAACAAATTTGTTTGGTAATAGCACTCAAACAGCCTTCTGGAACAAATTTTGTACGAAACTCGGGGTACCACTGTACTGTGTGTGTAATTAGATACAGAGTGTGCAAGTTTGAATCCTGCTGTGGCCTGAGAGTTAATGTTTGTTAAAGATTTCCTCACTTTGCAATGGTTCAACTTATGATATTTAGACTTTACAGTGGTGCGATAAAGCTGTAAGACTTTTTCGGACTGTACATTTATTGATAGGATTAACTGCTACTACTTCTTTCAGCAAACCGGCCGTACCCCACCGAGGCGGGGTGGCCCAAAAAGAAAAACAAAAGTTTCTCTTTTTAACTTTAGTAATGTATACAGGAGAAGGGGCTACTAGCCCCTTGTTCCCGGTGTTTTATTCACCTCTTAACGACACACATGACTTACGGAGGAAGAATTCTGTTCCACTTCCCCATGGAGATAAGAGTAAATAAACAAAAACAAGAACTATTAACATTTTCAGGGTCCCAGACCCCTAAAACTTGTCCGCAGCGTCAAAGAATTTAACCCTTTCACTGTCGGTGCAATATTAGTACGGCTTACAAGCCAGTGTTGGTGTCGTATTAATATGCCAAAATTCTAGCGGCTTCAGATCTAGTGGGAGAAAGCTGATAGACCTACACATGAGAGAATGGGTCTGTATGATCAATGTATGCAGTATAAAAAAAATTCTTCAGCATGCAGTTCATAATGATAAAAAAAATCTGACAGTGTTTTTGGTTTAAAATGCCGACTTTGAGGTGTATTTTGGTATGGTATTTATGGTTGTATTCTCATTTTCTTGGTCTCATTTGATAGAATGGAAGATATATTACGGAAATAGAGATGATTTTGATTGGTTTCACGATGAAAAGTACCTTGAAATTAAGCTCAAAGTAGTGGAAATGTTCGATTTTTGCTGATGTTCAAGAGCAAACAAATGACATCACTGTCCAATATGTGTCCAACCGGCCAGTCTAATACGCAGTCATGAATGGGTTGACATTATTTGTACAATTATTACAATAATGCAGTAGTCTGCATAACAGTAAATCATCTATTTTTTGTGTGAATAAAAATTCAAAATGGAAAGTAAGAGTAATATAAGAGGGATCTGGAGATATGACTAATGAACAGAGAAAATGTTATTTTAGTGCCAGGAATGTCTGCACTGTTTATTCTGGACACTATTTTGAAATTGGCATCTTTTGAAATTTGTGTGAAATTGGCCAAATTGCCTATTGGTCAGAAATTGGCCAAATTGCCAATTTCTGATCACTTTTTTGTGTAGTTGAAATTGGTAAATGGGCAGTTTCTTGTACTCAGTCAATAGAACAAATGGAGTTCCAGCGAAATAGCTGTGAGTTTGGTCGACTGGAACATTGGAATTGACCAAAAATCGGGCTCAAAGTGGGCGAAATCGCCGATGCATATATCTTCCATTCTGTCAAAAAACCGAGATTACAGCCATAAAACCCATGTGAAAATACACTGCAAAGTTGCTCTTTTAAACCAAAAACACAGTTGCAGTTTTTTCTTGTTATGCACCACGTGCTGCAGGATTTTTTTTATATGGTGCACACTTATCACATAGACCCATTCTTTCATATCTAGGCCCAGATTTACCACTTAAGGCTTATCTAAGTGAGCTAAGCTCATGGCGTAGTACTGTGACACTGACAGTGACCTCAGAGCCACAGTACTGTGGTACAATCAGTGAAAGGGTTAAGAAAATAGAAGAAAACCCAGATGGGTGTGCATATATATGCATGTACATGAATGTGTAGTGTGACCTTAGTGTAAGTAGAAATAGCAAGATATACCTGTTATCCTACATGTTCATGGGACAGAAAAGGCACCAGCAATCCTGTCATCGCTTAGCTGGACGATACCTTCCTGGGTAGTGGCTGTCTACCAACCTACTACCTAGCTTATTTACTTGTATTCATATTCGACATGATATTTTCAACGTATGATGGATTCATCAGAACATAACCTTATTGTAAGTTAAGGATTACCTGTGCATAGTGGTGTGTGTGTCTCAGTGGATGACACAGAGGTATGTATCTCAGTGTATATATCGTATTTTGCGGCTTATAAGGCGTGTTTTCGTTTCATTGGCTTGACATTGGACGTAACTGGGAGAGCTACAGCCCACCCCACGTCACATACTTATAGCTCCCATCACTGACCTTCAGTTTATAGGACGCAGGGTGGTTTTTGGAGACATTTTATGGGGAAAAATTGCATCTAATAACACCCATTATATCCATTGATATTTGCAGTATGTGAAGATCTTTTCCATGTGTTGTATATCTCACTGTCTGTCAACTCCACATTCAGACACCAATTTACTTGTTAGATTTTTTTGAGTTTTAGGTGATTTGCTTTTGTAGATCCTCAGCTAAATATACCACAAGTGAGGTAAAGATATAATTATACTGAGTGATCATTGTTGTTTGTGATGCATTGTAGCATATTTCTGAAAGAATGCAAAGTTATATAAATTTCCTTAGGTGTGTCCTAGATGCAAGTGTTGAGTTTTAGTGTTAAGCTATAAACCTAAGAGCTGTATAGTCCTTGTGGCTTAGCGCTTCTTTTTTGATTATAATAATAATAATAATATAAACCTAAGAAATTTTCATTATCATGTCTTTTGAGTGTGTCAGTGATATACAGGTGGGCCCCACTTTACAGCGCTTTCCTTTACAATGTTTTGCTAATGAAGCGGTTTTAAATTATACCCGTTCTTAATGTTTTCAGACTTCATACAGTAAATATATTCATTACTCACTATAAGTTAAAGAGAAAAATATTTTTTTTTTTTTTTTTATCACACTGGCCGATTCCCACCAAGGCAGGGTGGTCCACCAAGGCAGGGTGGTTCACCAAGGCAGGGTGGCCCACCAAGGCAGGGTGGCCCGAAAAAGAAAAACTTTCACCATCATTCACTCCATCACTGTCTTGCCAGAAGGGTGCTTTACACTACAGTTTTTAAACTGCAACATTAACACCCCTCCTTCAGAGTGCAGGCACTGTACTTCCCATCTCCAGGACTCAAGTCCGGCCTGCCGGACTTGAGTAATTAATGTGTGTACTGTATGTGCATTTTTTAGGCCTAGCGCTGTTGCTCACTTAATATATGATAGTGTAAACATATTATCAGACAATGATTCACTTTACAGCAGTAGCCAGGAACCTAATCTGCTGTATAAGTGGGGCCACACAGTAGCCTAGAGCCTAAACTGCTGTGTAAATGGGGCCCGGGCCCGCCTGTATGCATGTGCATTTCTTGGCTTTGAGACACAAACATATCAGTCTTTCCTTACTATGTGTATCTCACTTCAGACAAAGGTATTTCGTTATCGTTCATTATATATTCTGTATGTTAGGTGGAGTAGCTGCCGTGGACCTGACCAGCACCAGTGCTCGTGTTCAGTGGACTGACGGTGCAAGTAATGGACAGCCTATCGAGAGTTATACCATACAGACTCGCACACAATGGTCCAAGAAATGGATAACTGTAGCTGAGAATGTTACAGCCAAGGTAAGACTTACTTTGTCAACACACCAGCAGTCTCCCACCCTGGCAAGGTGACATATAAAGAAAAACAAAAGATTTATTTTTTAGGTCACCTAAATGTAAAAAGAAAAACAAAAGTTTGTCTTTATATATTTAGTAATTAGGTAAGACTTATTACATTATATAATTACTTGCTAACTAGTAAAAACGGAGCTAAGAACTATGAATAACCCGCACATAGGAAAAGGAAGCTCAAGACGACAATTCAGTTCGGCTTCGAGCATCAACTAGCCACACGTGACTAGTTAATAGAAATAACACTAATTGACATGCTTCCTGCAACACAGTGATGGAGCGAGTGATGATGAAAGTGTTTCTTCTTTTTCGGGAAACCCTGCCCCAGTCCAAGTTGGACCAAAACCTCGTCATAAGTTTCTTTCACCTGTGTGCGGGTTTTTTGTGTAAAATATATGTAATAGTATATAAAAATCACCTGTTATTTTAGGCCTGCACTTGTGTGAGTTCTTGAAAATAGTAAGTTTTGTTCAGTAATCAGAACTATTTTCCCAGAGAGAGATGCTGACCAGTTCTCAGTACTTCTTGTACAGTAACAAGAACACTGGTTCAGTTCTGAGTACTTCTTGTACAGTAACAAGAACACTGGTTCAGTTCTCAGTACTTCTTGTACAGTAACGAGAACACTGGTTCAGTTCTCAGTACTTCTTGTACAGTAACGAGAACACTGGTTCAGTTCTCAGTACTTCTTACTTAACAAGAACACTGGTTCAGTTCTCAGTACTTCTTACTTAACAAGAACACTGGTTCAGTTCTCAGTACTTCTTGTACAGTAACAAGAACACTGGTTCAGTTCTCAGTACTTCTTACTTAACAAGAACACTGGTTCAGTTCTCAGTACTTCTTACTTAACAAGAACACTGGTTCAGTTCTCAGTACTTCTTACTTAACAAGAACACTGGTTCAGTTCTCAGTACTTCTTGTACAGTAACAAGAACACTGGTTCAGTTCTCAGTACTTCTTACTTAACAAGAACACTGGTTCAGTTCTCAGTACTTCTTACTTAACAAGAACACTGGTTCAGTTCTCAGTCCTTCTTGTACAGTAACGAGAACACTGGTTCAGTTCTCAGTACTTCTTACTTAACAAGAACACTGGTTCAGTTCTCAGTACTTCTTACTTAACAAGAACACTGGTTCAGTTCTCAGTACTTCTTACTTAACAAGAACACTGGTTCAGTTCTCAGTACTTCTTGTACAGTAACAAGAACACTGGTTCAGTTCTCAGTACTTCTTACTTAACAAGAACACTGGTTCAGTTCTCAGTACTTCTTGTACAGTAACGAGAACACTGGTTCAGTTCTCAGTACTTCTTACTTAACAAGAACACTGGTTCAGTTCTCAGTACTTCTTGTACAGTAACAAGAACACTGGTTCAGTTCTCAGTACTTCTTACTTAACAAGAACACTGGTTCAGTTCTCAGTACTTCTTACTTAACAAGAACACTGGTTCAGTTCTCAGTACTTCTTACTTAACAAGAACACTGGTTCAGTTCTCAGTACTTCTTGTACAGTAACAAGAACACTGGTTCAGTTCTCAGTACTTCTTACTTAACAAGAACACTGGTTCAGTTCTCAGTACTTCTTACTTAACAAGAACACTGGTTCAGTTCTCAGTCCTTCTTGTACAGTAACGAGAACACTGGTTCAGTTCTCAGTACTTCTTACTTAACAAGAACACTGGTTCAGTTCTCAGTACTTCTTACTTAACAAGAACACTGGTTCAGTTCTCAGTACTTCTTACTTAACAAGAACACTGGTTCAGTTCTCAGTACTTCTTGTACAGTAACAAGAACACTGGTTCAGTTCTCAGTACTTCTTACTTAACAAGAACACTGGTTCAGTTCTCAGTACTTCTTGTACAGCAACGAGAACACTGGTTCATTTTCCCAGTACTTCTTACTTAACAAGAACACTGGTTCAGTTCTCAGTACTTCTTGTACAGTAACAAGAACACTGGTTCAGTTCTCAGTACTTCTTACTTAACAAGAACACTGGTTCAGTTCTCAGTACTTCTTGTACAGTAACAAGAACACTGGTTCAGTTCTCAGTACTTCTTGTACAGTAACAAGAACACTGGTTCAGTTCTCAGTACTTCTTACATAACAAGAACACTGGTTCAGTTCTCAGTACTTCTTACATAACAAGAACACTAGTTCAGTTCTCAGTACTTCTTGTACAGTAACAAGAACACTGGTTCAGTTCTCAGTACTTCTTACATAACAAGAACACTGGTTCAGTTCTCAGTACTTCTTACATAACAAGAACACTGGTTCAGTTCTCAGTACTTCTTACATAATAAGAACACTGGTTCAGTTCTCAGTACTTCTTACATAACAAAACACTGGTTCAGTTCTCAGTACTTCTTACTTAACAAGAACACTGGTTCAGTTCTCAGTACTTCTTGTACAGTAACGAGAACACTGGTTCAGTTCTCAGTACTTCTTACTTAACAAGAACACTGGTTCAGTTCTCAGTACTTCTTGTACAGTAACAAGAACACTTGTTCAGTTCTCAGTACTTCTTACTTAACAAGAACACTGGTTCAGTTCTCAGTACTTCTTACTTAACAAGAACACTGGTTCAGTTCTCAGTACTTCTTGTACAGTAACAAGAACACTGGTTCAGTTCTCAGTACTTCTTGTACAGTAACAAGAACACTGGTTCAGTTCTCAGTACTTCTTACATAACAAGAACACTGGTTCAGTTCTCAGTACTTCTTACATAACAAGAAAACTGGTTCAGTTCTCAGTACTTCTTACATAACAAGAACACTGGTTCAGTTCTCAGTACTTCTTACATTACAAGAACACTGGTTCAGTTCTCAGTACTTCTTGTACAGTAACAAGAACACTGGTTCAGTTCTCAGTACAGTGGACCCCCGCCTTACGATATTAATCCATTCCTGAGAGCTCATCGTAAGCCGAAATTATCGTTAGCTGAATTAATTTTCCCCATAAGAAATAATGGAAATCAAATTAATCCATTCCTGACACCCCAAAGTATGAGAAAAAAAAAATTTTACCACTTGAAATATTAATTTTAATACACACAAACTGAAGAAGACATGCACAATTACTACTCTACTAAGAATAGAATACATGACACTTACCTTTATTGAAGATCTGGTGATGATTGATGGGATGGGAGGAGGGGAGTGTGTGGAAGTTATTGTTTAGAAGGGGAATCCCCTTCCATTAGGACTTGAGGTAGCAAGTCCTTTTCTGGGGTTACTTCCCTTCTTTTAGTGCCATTAAGGACCAGCTTGAGAGTCACTGGACCTCTGTCGCACAACAAATCTGTCCATAGAGGTCTGTACCTCCCGTTCCCTTAAGACTTTCCTAAAATGGGCCATAAAATTGTCATTGTACAGGTTGCCAACACGGCTTGCAGTAGCTGTGTCAGGGTGATTTTCATCTGTAAAGGTTTGCAGTTCAGCCCACTTTGCACACATTTCCTTAATCTCTCTTTTCAGTTCCATAATAATTCTCACCCTTTTTACCACAGGGATGGCACTAGAAGCTTTCTTGGGGTCCATGGTGACTTATTTTGCAGTTACAAGCACTAAAAACACTGGGATAATGTGAAATGTACCGAATGTATGCGTAGATGCGACCGCACTGGCTGACTTGTAAACACTGGCGCTGAGGCCACACGTGCGACGTGTCCCAGACGAATCACGTAAGGCGAGTTTTTTATTGTGAGGCGAGAAAAATTTTTGCGTTCAAATGCTTCGTATGGCGGATTTAACGTAACGTGATGTGTTCGTAAGGTGGGGGTCCACTGTACTTCTTACATAAGAACACTGGTTCCGTTCTCAGTACTTGTTACACAACAACAGATACAGGGGGCCTACTGTATCATTACCCAAGTTAGTATCCATGGTAGGTCTATGAAGATGTCCCCCACAGATATAGGGGGACTACTGTATCATTACCCAAGTTAGTATCCATGGTAGGTCTTGGAAGATATCCCCCGTGGATACAGGGAGACTACTGTATCATCACCCAAGTTGTAAATTGTTCGTTTCCTTCCCTAGCTGATAGATCCTACCAATGGTCGTCGAGAGTACCAGCTGGGCGACGTTCTCTCCCCCTGGTCATCACATGAGTTCAGAATACGGGGTGTGAACAACCTTGGTAATGGACAGTTCTCTGCTCCCTCACCTCAGGTAAGTATCTCACCTCACGCAAGTATCTCGCCTCGCGCAAGTATCTCACCTCACGCAACTTTAGAATTTGTTGTTGTAAAGTAATTACTTTATACTGAAGTTGAGAGTGGCAGGATGTACACACTGAGAGGTGTATATCCTTGTACACCAGGTGTATATCCTTGTACACCAGGTGGTGTATATCCTTGTACACTAGGAGATGCATATTATTGTACACCAGGTGTATACCCTTGTACACCAGGTGTATACCCTTGTACACTAGGTGTATACCCTTGTACACCAGGTGTATACCCTTGTACACCAGGTGTATACCCTTGTACACCAGGTGTATACCCTTGTACACCAGGTGTATACCCTTGTACACCAGGTGTATACCCTTGTACACCAGGTGTATACCCTTGTACACCAGGTGTATACCCTTGTACACTAGGTGTATAACCCTTGTACACCAGGTGTATACCCTTGTACACCAGGTGTATACCCTTGTACACCAGGTGTATACCCTTGTACACCAGGTGTATACCCTTGTACACCAGGTGTATACCCTTGTACACCAGGTGTATACCCTTGTACACCAGGTGTATACCCTTGTACACCAGGTGTATACCCTTGTACACCAGGTGTATACCCTTGTACACCAGGTGTATACCCTTGTACACCAGGTGTATACCCTTGTACACCAGGTGTATACCTTGTACAACCAGGTGTATACCCTTGTACACCAGGTGTATACCCTTGTACACCAGGTGTATACCCTTGTACACCAGGTGTATACCCTTGTACACCAGGTGTATACCCTTGTACACCAGGCGTATACCTTGTACACCAGGTGTATACCCTTGTACACCAGGTGTATACCCTTGTACACCAGGCGTATACCTTGTACACCAGGTGTATACCCTTGTACACCAGGTGTATACCCTTGTACACCAGGTGTATACCCTTGTACACCAGGTGTATACCCTTGTACACCAGGTGTATACCCTTGTACACCAGGCGTATACCTTGTACACCAGGTGTATACCCTTGTACACCAGGTGTATACCCTTGTACACCAGGTGTATAACCCTTGTACACCAGGTGTATACCCTTGTACACCAGGTGTATACCCTTGTACACCAGGTGTATACCCTTGTACACCAGGTGTATACCCTGTACACCAGGTGTATACCGTTGTACATCAGGTGTATACCCTGTACACCAGTGTATACCCTTGTACACCAGGTGTATACCTTGTACACCAGGTGTATACCCTTGTACACCAGGTGTATACCGTTGTACATCAGGTGTATACCTTGTACACCAGGTGTATACCTTGTACACCAGGTGTATACCCTTGTACACCAGGTGTATACCTTGTACAACCAGGTGTATACCCTTGTACACCAGGTGTATACCCTTGTACATCAGTGTATACCCTTGTACACCAGGTGTATACCTTGTACACCAGGTGTATACCCTTGTACACCAGGTGTATACCCTTGTACACCAGGTGTATACCCTTGTACACCAGTGGTGTATACCCTTGTACACCAGGCGTATACCTGTACACCAGGTGTATACCCTTGTACACCAGGTGTATACCCTTGTACACCAGGCATATACCTTGTACACCAGGTGTATACCCTTGTACACCAGGTGTATACCCTTGTACACCAGGTGTATACCCTTGTACACCAGGTGTATACCCTTGTACACCAGGCATATACCTTGTACACCAGGTGTATACCCTTGTACACCAGGCATATACCTTGTACACCAGGTGTATACCCTTGTACACTAGGAGGTGTACATCTGTGTACACCTCTGATTTTATACAATAACTTGCTTTAATACCATTAATGAAGGACTAAAGTATTCTTGATTAGTGTGTACATGTGACATGCAGCCTTTATGATGCTTGTGTAGTAGATAGGTTTCAAACCTCTCCAGTCAACATTGTTATGCATCTTTATTTCTTTTTATTTGGAGGAGGGGAGTAAGTACTATATAGTTAATTAGAATGAACCTTAATTAAGCTACTGTCCTTTACAAGTGCCTGATCAATCAGCCTATTATTTGTCTGTAAGCCACTAACAGCAGCAGCCTGGTTGACCACAGCTATCAGCATTGGGCTGTGAATGTAAAAATGAATCTGGTTAGGTTAGGTGAGGTTAGGTTAGGTTAGGTTAGGTTGGTTCGGTTCGGTTAGGTTAGGTTAGGTGCAGTTAGGTTAGGTGAGGTTAGGTTAGGTTAGGTGTGGTTAGGTTAGGTTAGGTTGGTTCGGTTAGGTTAGGTTAGGTTGGTTAGGTTAGGTTAGGTTAGGTTGGTTCGGTTAGATTAGGTTAGGTTAGGTTGGTTCGGTTAGGTTAGGTAGGTTCGGTTAGGTTAGGTTGGTTCGGTTAGGTTAGGTTGGTTCGGTTAGGTTAGGTTAGGTTGGTTCGGTTAGGTTAGGTTAGGTTAGGTTGGTTCGGTTAGGTTAGGTTGGTTCGGTTGGTTCGGTTAGGTTAGGTTAGGTTGGTTCGGTTAGGTTAGGTTAGTTGGTTTGGTTAGGTTAAGGTTATGTTAGGTTAGTTAGGTTAGGTTTGGTTGGTTCGGTTAGTTAGGTTAGGTTGGTTTGGTTAGGTTAGTTAGGTTGGTTCAGTTAGGTTAGGTTGGTTCGGTTAGGTTAGGTTAGGTTAGGTTGGTTAGGTTAGTTAGGTTGTTAGGTTAGTTAGGTTAGGTTAGGTTGGTTCGTTAGTTAGGTTGGTTCGGTTAGGTTAGGTTAGGTTGGTTTGGTTAGGTTAGGTTTGGTCGGTTAGGTTAGGTTAGGTTGGTTCGGTTAGGTTAGGTTAGGTTGTTCGGTTAGGTTAGTGTTGGTTCGGTTAGGTTAGGTTGGTTAGGTTTTAGCTTAGCTTAGGTTAGGTTAGGTTAGTTAGGTAGGTTGGTTAGGTTGGGTTCGGTTAGGTTAGGTTAGGTTAGGTTGGGTTAGGTTAGGTTAGGTTGGGTTAGGTTGGGTTGGGTTAGGTTAGGTTAGGTTAGGTTGGGTTAGGTAGGGTTTGTCAGGAAACAGGACAAGTGTTTCCTGACTTATTTCGTAGTCATGTGATGACTCGCCACTGGAGCTTTTGGTCATCTGATCGAGGGTTTCCACTGGCCTACCCCTCCTCCCATTAAAAATTATGGTTATGATTTTACCATTAGGTAAATACATCTGGAAAATAGTCTCAGGTGTAGTCACAACAGCTGAAAAAAATATTGGAATGAGGATTAACATTGTGTTCAGAATAAATTATTGTCGATCATTTTTAAGACAATCATTTAATACTGCATTATTTTTGTTTTTGTTATCGGTTATTGTTGTCAGGCAAACACAAGAGAGGACCGGCCATTCACTACCCCGATGAACTTGGGCGGCGGAGGCGGCAAGACCGGGGACCTTACCATCACCTGGGATGTAAGTCACTTTAAACTAAATCAGAGGTTGGGGAACTGGGGTAAATTACCCCAAATGGGGTAAAAGTGAAAATCTCCAGGGTAATGAAAGTTCACTAATTTTTTTTTTTTTTTTTTTTCAACAAACTGGCTGTATCCCACCGAGGCAGGGTGACCCAAAAAGAAAAATGAAAGTTTCTCCTTTTACATTTAGTAATATATACAGGAGAAGAGGTTACTAGCCCCTTGCTCCCGGCATTTTAGTTGCCTCTTACAACACGCATGGCTTACAGAGGTAGAATTCTGTTCCACTTCCCCATGGAGATAAGAGGAAATAAACAAGAACAAGAACTAGAAAGAAAATAGAAGAAAACCAAGAGGGGTGTGTATATATATGCTTGTACATGTATGTGTAGTGTGACCTAAGTGTAAGTAGAAGTAGCAAGACGTACCTGAAATCTTGCATTTTTATGAGACAGAAAAAAGGACACCAGCAATCCTACCATCATGTAAAACAATTACAGGCTTCCGTTTTACACTCACTTGGCAGGACGGTAGTATCTCCCTGGGTGGTTGCTGTCTACCAACCTACTACCTAGGAAAGCGTGTAATATAAATCGTAAATCTACACTTGGAGCATTATGCATGTGAACGTAGATCTACGTTTTGACGGGTTAAGGGTTAATAAGTGAGGCAGATTACGTTGCTTTATCAAGTATAATACTTTTCAGCTTTTATTACCGTATTCTCCATACAAATGGATTCAATAATCTTGAATTTGAATGCTCCTTGAGTTTTCCCAATTCTGTGGACTTTAAAGTCTAGTGGGGAATTTTGCTGTACACAAGTTTGTTTTGGGGTAAGACTCTGAAAAGTTTTCCAACCTCTGCACTAAATCCTTCTTGATCGTCACACAACTCTTCCTAAGACTTGGTGACTCTCTAAGAGCAGTTGAGTCACACATTTCTTATGAAGGCTGTGCACAAAATTCGTAAAATGAGCACAACTCGTAGAATTTTGTGCTAATTTCTGTTTTAATGCTGGCGGTCAACCACCAAGGCAGGGTGACCCAAAAAAGAAACACTTTCACCATCATTCACACTGTTACTGTCTTGCCAGAGGCATGCAGATATGACAATTCGGATGTCACTCTGAACAGCAAATATCCCAAACCCCTCCTTTACAGTGCAGGCACTCTACCTCTCACCTCCAGGACTCAAGTCCGGCTAACTAGTTTACTTGAATCCCTTCACAAAATATCACCATGCTCACACTCCAACAGCTCAGCAGATCCCAAAAATAATTTCTCCACTCCTGTTTAACATGCTCACACATGCCTGTTGTATGTCTAAGCCTCTTGCACACAAAACCTCCATCCTTTCGTAGGACAACCCTTACCCCACCTTCCCTCCACTACAGATTTATCCACCCTCTAGGTCATCCTATTTTGCTCCATCCTCTCTGAATGTCCGAGCCACCTCAATAACCCTTCCTCAGCCCTCTGGATAATACTATGAGCATCCTCCACCTTGTAATCTCCAAACTAGAAATTCTCTGCATAATATTCACACCAAACACTGCCTCCAGCCTCCTCCTCCTCCTCCACTGCAACATTCACCACCCATGCTTCACACCCATATAAGAGTGTTGGTATAACTCTACTCTCATACATTCCCCTCTTTGCCTCCATGGATAACATTCTTTGTCTCCACAGACTCTTTAGTGCACCATTCACCTTTGTTTCTTCATCAGTTCTATGGTTTACCTCTTCTTTCATAGACCCATCTGCCAGCACATCCATTCCCAAATATCTGAACACTTCACTTCCTCTATGTGCTATATCTTTCCTCTAATATTTATCTATGCAGTTACTCTTCAGTGATTTAATAATGATGGTAATTACTGACAGTATGTTAGCTAAAAGGACACAAGTGCAGCTAATGTGATATTTTATTGTGGCAACGTTTCACTCTCCAGGAACTTTGTCATGGTTGACAAAGGTCCTGGAAAGCAAAATATTGCCACAACAAAATATCACATTAGCTGCACTTGTGTCCTTTAACCTAACATAACTCTTTAATGCTGCTTAATATCTCTTGAACTAGGGAATTAGTTACCCTCTTCTCAAAGGAAGGTGAAGTGTAACTTATGGGTTTTGCTCCTTCCTATACAGGATTGGAGGGAAGGTTTAGCATGGTAGGGGCTTGAATGCCCTGCAGGGATGTGTTGGTGGGTTAGAATCAGGGTGAAAAAAGTGAGTTTTTGTTCTGAGGTCATGAAATTTAAGCAAGATAACATCATGAAGGTAGTTGGTTAAGCCAGTTAGCCGCACCTCAGTTTTGGAAGTGGGAAAAACAGTGCCTGCACTCTGAAGGATGAGTGAGGATGTTACAGTTCTGGAGGTGGGAAGTACAGTGCCTGCACTCTGAAGGATGGGTGACAATGTTACAGTTCTGGAGGTGGGAAGTACAGTACCTGAAAGTTTTCTTAAAGGTAGGAATGTTGCTTTTCAGAGAAACATAGTGTAATATCCGCGCACTTCTGGTAAGACAGCAACTGAACGAGTGATGGTAAATGTGTTTCCTTCTTTGGGTTACTCTACCCTGCTGGGAAATGGCTACTGTTATAAAGAAATAATAATAATCTACACTTATAACCAAGTCACTTTTTCCACACTTGGTAGTTTGAACAGAACTTACAACTTAATTATAATCCCAGCCACAACAACATGCAAGCTTAATATGTGGAATTTTGATGTTTTGTTATTAATTTACCATTTGTATCCGCATAGCTATGTGAGTACAGGTCGACCATCACTAATCTGGCATCATCGGGACCTGTAAGGTGCTGGATTAGTGATTTTGCTGGATCACAGAGTGGTTAGGTCAGAATACACTTAATCCAACAGCTAGCTACTACATCCTACCTTTAAAATGCTCCGTAAAACAATACAGGTTGGTTAATAAAGTTAATCAACTTACAGAAGAAAGTTCATCACTGCTGCTTCCAAAGTGAAGAGCTGAAATTTACAGCTAACACACTTACATGTCTTGAGGTGAAGGGAAAGGCTGTCAGGATTGCCATCTTCTTGAGGTGAAGGGAAGGACTGTCAGGATTGCCATCTTCTTGAGGTGAAGGGAAAGGCTGTCAGGATTGCCATCTTCTTGAGGTGAAGGGAAGGGCTGTCAGGATTGCCATCTTCTTGAGGTGAAGGGAAAGGCTGTCAGGATTGCCATCTTCTTGAGGTGAAGGGAAGGGCTGTCAGGATTGCCATCTTCTTGAGGTGAAGGGAAGGACTGTCAGGATTGCCATCTTCTTGAGGTGAAGGGAAGGGCTGTCAGGATTGCCATCTTCTTGAGGTGAAGGGAAGGGCTGTCAGGATTGCCATCTTCTTGAGGTGAAGGGAAGGGCTGTCAGGATTGCCATCTTCTTGAGGTGAAGGGAAGGACTGTCAGGATTGCCATCTTCTTGAGGTGAAGGGAAGGGCTGTCAGGATTGCCATCTTCTTGAGGTGAAGGGCTGATTCACATCTTCATCTTCAAGATGTCCTGGTAGCAGGACATCTGGGTGAGCAGATGTTTGAAATGACTCTAGCCAAAATTAGTGCTGGATTAGTGATGGGACCAGATTAGTAATTGCCGGATCAGTGATGGCCGACCTGTACTGTTTTCTTCTTTCTTTCAACACACAGGCCGTACCCCACCGAGGCAGGGTAGCCCGAAAGGAAAAACGAAACTTTCTCCTTTTACATTTTGTAATATATACAGGAGAAGGGGTTACTAGCCCCTTGCTCTTGGCATTTTAGTCGCCTCTTACAACACGCATGGCTTATGGAGGAAGAATTCTGTTCCACTTCTCCATGGAGATAAGAGGAAATAAACAAGAATAAGAACTAGAAAGAAAATAGAAGAAAACCCAGAGGGGTGTGTATATATATGCTTGTACATGTATGTGTAGTGTGACCTAAGTGTAAGTAGAAGTAGCATGACGTACCTGAAATCTTGCATGTTCATAAGACAGAAAAAAGGACACCAGCAATTCTACCATGTAAAACAATTACAGGCTTTTGTTTTACACTCACTTGGCAGGACGGTAGTACCTCCCTGTACTATCTTATTATTATTATTTATTAACACATCGGTCATTTCCCACTGAGGCAGGGTGACCCGAAAAAGAAGATACACTTTCATTGTCACTCACTCCTTCACTGTCTTCTGGCTTCTGACGATGTTTTAGTCCAAATCTTGGATCATTTTCAAAGTCACACTAACACACAAGAGTGAGGAAGTCAGTATATATAGGCGATGGGGACAGGGAAGGGACCAAGAGAGGAAGAACAAGTAGTGGTGGTAATGCAGGTAGTGGTGGTAGTAGTAGTAGTAGTAGAACTAGTTGTAGTAAAAAGTAGAGAGTAGTTTAGTGGCACAAGAGAGAGGAAGAGGCATGAAGGGTGAAGTGAGGCAATAGGTTTGGAAATAGGGTAGTTGATGAGTGGAACAGTCTACCTAGTTGGGTTATTGAGGCTAGGACTTTGGGTAGTTTCAAATTTAGGTTGGATAAGTACATGAGTGGGAGGGGTTGGATTTGAGTGGGACTTGCACATCAGAGCTTATTTCTTGGGTGGCATTGAAAATTGGGTTGGGCAAATGTTTTGTTAGTGGGATGAATTGTAAAGGACCTGCCAAGTATGGGTCAACAGGCCTGCTGCAGTGTTCCTTCTTTCTTATGTTCTTATATTCTCATGTAACAGCGGGTTATTTGTGTATTGTTTCTATCATACATCTGTGTATAATTACACTTATAATGTAAACTTTTTGAAAAAATTACTTGCTGCTCCCACAGTGTGTTTTACCTGTGTTTGTATATTCAGATATCTGGTATTCTGAGCCTTCATGATGATGATGGACTATTGATCCAAGGAATTTTAGCTACCCTTCTGTTTCTATAATCAGGCTTGATTGCCTCACATTTCCCAGACACTGTATGTCATCTATAATAATAATAATAATAATAATAATAATAATAATAATAATAATAATAATAATAATAATAATAATAATAATAATATCCATGGGGAAGTGGAGAAGAATCCTTCCTCTGTAAGCCATGCGTGTTGTAGGAGGCGACTGAAATTCCGGAGCAAGGTGCTGGTAACCCCTTCTGTAAATGCAGCCTCTACTCACTTAACGACGGAATTCCATTCCTAATACCACGTTGGTAAATGAATTTGTCGCTAAGCGAGGAGCACACTGTGATGGTAGTGGGTTTGTATCAGCCATTTTTTATATTGTTTTAATGTCACCCTCGCACCTTTTATAACATTTTTAGTACATAGATTTTTTTTTTATTAACACACTGGCCGATTCCCACCAAGGCAGGGTGGTCCACCAAGGCAGGGTGGTCCACCAAGGCAGGGTGGTCCACCAAGGCAGGGTGGTCCACCAAGGCAGGGTGATCCACCAAGGCAGGGTGATCCACCAAGGCAGGGTGGTCCACCAAGGCAGGGTGGTCCACCAAGGCAGGGTGGTCCACCAAGGCAGGGTGGTCCACCAAGGCAGGGTGGTCCACCAGGGCAGGGTGGTCCACCAAGGCAGGGTGGCCTGAAAAAGAAAAACTTTCACCATCATTCACTCCATCACTGTCTTGTCAGAAGGGTGCTTTACACTACAGTTTTTAAACTGCAACATTAACACCCCTCCCATATATTTATAAATGTTTATACAATGTGCAAATTTGGAAAAACCACGAATTCTGGACGAGGCTAATAAAATGCCTGTAAATGCCTATCTTTATAGTTTAGACACTCGTCGAGTATCTTAAACTTCCTCTGGTGCTTAGGTTCATTGCCAGAAGTCTTAGAAGGTGCAGGGCATTTGGGTGGAATCTTAGGGCTTAAACGAGCACAAAATGAAAAATGCAGGAACAATCTGACAAACACTTGAGATAGCTACACGTGGTAAACAGTTATGATGCGTGAATGCTTTGCCTCATCTGCCGGATATACATCACAGGTCAGCAGCCAGTCAGCAGCAAGGAGAAATGAATAATGCTGTTGGATTGGCTACTTTCAAACCTTACACCTCTGAGTATTGGGGCATTTCACCATCCCAAGCTGCGTTTTCCTGTACGGTCATTTTGTGTCCTCTCTACAGCACTAAAAAATTGATACAGTATTATATTTTATATGGAAATTTTACCGAATTTACATTAATAATTATATTACAAAATTATTAAAATATATTTTTCTTAATATTTAGTGTTAACATGCATAAAAAATTATTGCGACGGAAAAAGCCATAAAAAATTCCACAAATTTGTGGGGATTTACGCGAACAGTTATTAGGTTCTAAGGAAAAATCTGCAAATTACTGAAGCCGCGACTTCAGAACCTTGAATTCATGGGGGTCCACTGTAGTGTACTGTATATTGTTATAAACATATTAGGTGAAATTAGCCCTAATATACATTATTTAGGTATGTTTACTGGTCAGAGAGCCCGTCATAAGTCAGAGTCGTCGGTAAACAAGTACGTCGCTAAGAGTGAGAAGAGGCTGTAATAATAACAGTAATAATAATAATAATAATAATAATAATAATAATAATAAAAATAATAGTAATAATAATAATTGTAATAATAATAACTGTAATAATAATAATAGTAACAAAGACAGTAATAATAATGGATGTTACAGCCACTGTCAGGAGAGCACCAGAATGCTCCTGGGGTGTACTACAAGTTGTTCTGGAGACGCACCGTCATCGACCCCGAAACTGATTTCCAGACCATCGTCCTGCGTAACCGTGGCAACATCGGGATGCACGTGGTCGATGTCAACCCCATCAAGTACTTCTATACTCAGTATGAAGTCAAAATCCAGGTATATAGGCTTTTTTTTATATTGGTAAATTGCCTACTCTATGCCTACTTCCTGACTCTTGCAGCAGTGCTTTTGACCCTGGTGGGTTTACCTCTTCTTTTTTCTTATAATAATCTGACTTGAAATTACATGTGCTTACTTTCTGACTCTAGAAATTACATGTGCTTACTTTCTGACTCTAGAAATTACATGTGCTTGCTTTCTGACTCTAGAAATTAGATGTGCTTACTTTCTGTCTCTAGAAATTACATGTGCTTGCTTTCTGACTCTAGAAATTACACATGCTTACTTTCTGGCTCTAATAACTCCTACTTACTTTCTAACTCGAGAAACTTGTACTAAGTGCATACTTTCTGACTCGAGAAACTTCTACTAGTTGCTTACTTTCTTACTCTATAAACTCCTGCTGGTAGCAGCACCTAGGTAAGCACCTAGGTGCTGCTACCAGTAAGTTAAGGAACAATGTTCCATTACACATCTCATGAACTCCATTAATGGGTTTTCCAGGCCTGGAATAATCAAGGTCCTGGACCCATTAGTGAACCGGTTGAGATCTTCTCCGCTGAAGACATGCCCCAGGTACAGCCAACAGAAGTCTCTGCCTTTGCCCACAATGCTACTTCACTCAATGTTACCTGGCTACCAATTGAACCCACCCGGGACAACATCCGCGGAAAACTCATTGGTTACAGGGTAAGTGTGTTGCGAATGTTCTAAATAGGGGACTCGGTAAGGATGGGTGGAATAAGAGTTTTTAGAATAGTTTAGATGGCTTTACTTAAGAACATAAGAAAGGAAGAGCACTGCAGCAGGCCTACTGGCCAGTTGCAGGCCCTTCTCAAATCCAAACCCACTAGCAAATATATTCGCCCAACTCACGTTCAGTGCTACCTTCATTTCCTTCGCTGTAGTCGAGGTGCCTCCTGCTGCGAGTACCTCATCAGTCAGGTTATGATGAAAATGTGAGCCTGTGAGCTGTTTGCAGGAACAGCCTGCTTGACCAGGGAGTTAACTAGGAAGCCTGGTCTTAGGCCATGCTTCAAGGGTACAAAATCCCTTCACACCAGTCACAGGCAGGTTTCAGTCAGTTCTGGATCATTATCAAATCAGGATTGACTCTTACATGGTCTGCATTTTCTCTGCAAATTGTGTATAAAACGTGAAGTGTTCCAATCACACTATTACAACCTTTTTTTTTATTGGGTCACACACCAAGGTAGGGTGACCCCAAAGAAGAAGAATCACTTTCATCATCATTCACGCTATTGCTGTCTTTGCAGAGGGACGCAGATACAACAGTTTTGATGTCACTCGAAACGGCAAATATTTTTTAATATAGAAATTAATACTGAAAGTTTAAAATAACTGGCAAACTTGGATTTTGACATCAGCTCTAATTTTTCATACAAAATAATGTATTAAATACATTTATTTTGAAAATGTTCTTATAATTCAGAGTGCATTCTGACGGCACATTTTTTTCGGCAGATTAAGTACTGGAGACGGCAGAATGAGGAGACTGACCACATCATTAAGTTACAGCGAGGTACCGAGCCTCATGGTCTTATTCTTGGCCTCATACCAAACACCTTCTACTGGGTGCGTGTCATGGCCTATAACCAAGCTGGCTCGGGACCCGAGAGTGAGAGATTCCTCGGTAAGCAATATTTTTTACCCTTTAAAAAAAATTTAGAGCAAGATTTATTTTAAAAAATGATAATTTATGACTCCTGAAATTTACAATAACACAATTGGGGAGGGTTTCGGGGGTCAATGCCCCCACGGCCCAGTCTGAGATCAGGCCTCTTGGTGGATCAGGGTCTGATCAAGCAGGCTGTTACTGCTGGCTGCACGCAAACTGATGTACCAACCACAGCCCGGGGTTAGAACCCGTGGCAAGCAGGTTACGCACTGGTCTGGAGTTTGCAACTCGTATGCCATGGGTTCTAACTCCACCCATACTGTGGTTTGTGATAATTTCTGTTTCTACTCAATAAACATCATTTTTGTTATTTATTCGCAATACACAAATAACCCGCACATAGGAGAAACAAACTTATGACGATGTTTTGCTCCAGCATGGACCATTGAGTAGCCTTGCATTGTTAGTGAAACTATTTAATGGTCCAAGTTGGACCGAAACGTTGTCATAAGTTACAGTCTATAATGTGCGGATTATTTGTGTATTGTTCCAGTCACGGTATTGTGACTTTTTATTCATTACTTTTGCACATGCTCAATAATAACCCACATGGAGACAGGACTCAAGTCCAGCTATATAAAATAACTGGTTTCCCTGAATCCCTTCACTAAATATTACCCTGCTCACACTCCAACAGCTCGTCAGGTCCCAAATACCGTTCGTCTCCATTCACTCTTATCTAACATGCTCACGCACACTTGGTGGAAGTCCAAGCCCCTCGCCCACAAAACCTGCTTTACCCCCTCCCTCCAACCCTTTCGAGGACGACCCCTACCCCGCCTTCCTTCCCCTCCATGTCATTCTACTTTGATCCATTCTCTCTAAATGACCAAACCACCTCAACAATCCCTCTTCAACCCTCTAACTAATACTTTTATTAACTCCACACCTCCTAATTTCCACACTCCGAATTTTCTGCATAATATTTACACCACACATTGCTCTTAGACAGGACATCTCCACTGCCTCCAACCTCCTCCTTGCTGCTGCATTCACAACCCAAGCTTCACACCCATATAAGAGTGTTGGTACTACTATACTTTCATACATTCCTTTCTTTGCCTTCATAGATAATGTTTTTTGTCTCCACATATACCTCAATGAACCACTCACCTTTTTTCCCTCATCAATTCTTTGATTAACCTCATCCTTCATAAATCCATCCACTGATACGTCAACTCCCAAGTATCTGAAAACATTCACTTCTTCCATACTCCTCCTCCCCAATTTGATATCCAATTTTTCTTTATCTAAATCATTTGATACCCTCATCACCTTACTCTTTTCTATGTTCATTTTCAACTTTCTACCTTTACACACACTCCCAAATTCGTCCACTAGCCTCTGCAATTTTTCTTTAGAATCTCCCATAAGTACAGTATCATCAGCAAAAAATAACTGTGTCACTTCCCATTTTGTATTTGATTCCCCATAATTTAATCCCACCCCTCTCCTGAACACCCTAGCATTTACTTCTTTTACAACCCCATTATAATACTGGGATATAGCTATTAAAATATTGCCACTATCAGGGGGCTAGTAACCCCTTCTCCTAGCGTATTAGTGTCCATTTCGTGTAGATAATCTCCATTAGGAAGTGGAAAATAATTCATGCATAAGCCATGCATGTCATAAGAGGTGACTATAATGTCTGCAGCAAGGGGCTAGTGACCCTTTCTCCTGTATAAATTACTAAATGTGAAAAGAAAGACTTGTTTTTCTTTTTTGAGTCACCCTGCCTCTGTGAGATATGGCCGGTTTGTTAAAAAAAAAAAAAAAATGAACCAGGGGCCTTGGAATGTTGGCAGAATATCCTAACATGAACATTTCCCCATCTTGCATAATTCTACACCAGGGGTTGCCGACCTTTTCTGTGCCCTGCACCCCTAGGAAATGTTTGATTAGTGTTGTACCCCCTACAAAAGTAATATCACACTCAAAGATAGTCAGATTTCTAGTTTTTGAATCTCAGATTGAACCATTACAGTACTTTAGGTGAACAAATTGAGCTACAAAAAAATAAGCTTTTAATCCAGTGCATAAAATGCAAATGTAAATTGAGCAATTAGGTAAGTTTTTAGTAAAATAAACAAATTTGTGCTTTTCATTAGGACACTGCCGCATCCCCTGACATGCCACCTCACACCCTTTTGGGGTGTGTACACCCCTGGGGGTACATGCACCTGAGGTTGGGAGCCCCTGATATATACAAATAACCCACAAATAGGAGAGAAAAGCTTATAACAGCACTTCGGTCCATCTTGGCACAAGTCAGACCAAAATATCATCATAAGCTTTTTCCCTCCTATGTCCGGGTTATTTGTGTATTGTTCCAGTCACGGTATTGTGCCATTTTGTTCTTTACATAACTACGTATTTTATTCCCCAGAACGAACCTGGCGCTTCCCTCCTCTCATGCCTCCGAATGCAGTCAAGGTTTACCCCATCAACCCCAGCACCATACGTGTCACTTGGAGAGGTGTTACTCCCACGTCTATGGAAGAACCACTTATTGGATACAAGGTAAGTTCCTATATTTATGCTTTATTGAGCATTCATAAAATATGTGAATTAAAAGTATAGGCAGGCCCCACTTATACAGCAGGTTAGATTCCAGGCTACTGTAGGGCCCTGCTCATACAGCAGGTTAGATTCTAGGTTACTGTAGGGCCCCACTTATATAGCAGGTTAGATTCTGGGCTACTGTAGGGCCCCACTTATACAGCAGGTTAGATTCTAGGCTACTGTAGGGCCCTGCTCATACAGCAGGTTAGATTCTGGGTTACTGTAGGGCCCCACTTATACAGCAGGTTAGATTCCAGGCTACTGTAGGGCCCTGCTCGTACAGCAGATTAGGTTCCGGGCTACTGTAGGGTCCCGCTTATACAGCAGATTAGGTTCCGGGCTACTCTAGTGCCCCACTTATACAGCAGATTAGGTTCCGGGCTACTGTAGGGCCTCACTTATACAGTAGTTAGGTTCTGGGCTACTTCTGTAAAGCAAAAATTGCTATAAAGTGAATCAGAGCCTTTTTTCACCTTTTTCATCATTATTCATAACTCAGTGTAATCTTTATGATAATAATAATTTTTATTTCAGCATGATAGTGTTTGTACAGTGATGGGTGACATTTAGCTGTGCTTGCAGAAAGCTTATAGTTCTTTCTTTCAACACACCGGCCGTATCTCACCGAGGCGGGGTGGCCGAAAAGGAAAAACGAAAGTAAAGCTCATAGTTATGCTGAGCATTTCAGACACGCTTAAGCCTGACTAAAGACTACGATGGCAATAATTATTTGCTTATATATACGGTCTCTTAGGGTTCGTGTATTCAAGACACACGTGCAGCAGTTGGGGATCTTTATTGTTGCAATGTTTTGCCTATAATGTAGACTTCTTCAGTCAAGTACGGTGGAGAATGTATTGTGTATTGTAGTAGTTGCTAGGTTAAGATGATGTAATTAATCCATCAACCTTGGGGAAATAGTGTGAGGTGGTCAGTCCCTCAGCCTGGAGAAGAGTTCAGCTTCATGGAGCTGAACTCTTCTCCAGGCTGAGGGACTGACCACCTCACACCATTTCTTCAAGGATGATAGACTGATTACACCATTACCTCATCATTTCTGCTGCCTTGTCAGTATTTTATACAATTTTCAACATTGATGTATTTACAGGTCAAAGTCTGGGAAGCTGATCAAGATTTCACAAAGGCCAACGATACCTATGTATACATTGGGTCACCACTGGAGGTTTACATCAGCGAACTTTCTCCCGGCAAGTCTTACAACTTGCGAGTACTGGCGTACTCGAGGGGTGGCGATGGCAAGAAATCTTCACCTCCGTGGAAATTCCAAATGGGTGAGTAATATATGCAGGAATTATTGGATAAAAACTTAAGATAATGATGGAGTGAATAATGGTGAAAGCATTTTTTTTCTTTTTTGGGTCACCCTGCCTCGGTGAGAAACAGCCAGTGTGGTAAAAAAAAAAAGGATACTTCTAGAAACAGTCTTTATCCATTATAGACCTGGGTATTCTGTACGTGTCCAGTACTATGCTTTGTGCTACGTTCATACGTGTCTAGTACCATACTTTGTGCTATGTTCATACGTGTCCAGTACCACGATTCGTACTACATTTGTACATGTCCATTATCATACTTTATGCTGTGTTCATATATGTCCAGTACCATACCATACCACCCACAACCTCCACCCATACCACCCACAACCTCCACCCATACCACCCACAACCTCCACCCATACCACCCACAACCTCCACCCATACCACCTTGCCCTATAATTCTCCTCTGGCCACATGCGTCCACCCACACCATTCCAACCATCAGCCTCCACCCACACCATTCCAACCATCAGCCTCCACCCACACCATTCCAACCATCAGCCTCCACCCACACCATTCCAACCATCAGCCTCCACCCACACCATTCCAACCATCAGCCTCTACCCACACAACTCTACAGCTTCAAGCCCACACAGCTCCACTTCCACACCTTAATCATACTTTCACAACCCACACACCTAGCATAGCCACCCACCACCCTCACCAACAACCCCACACTTACCCAGTCACCCACCTACACCAGCAACCCCACACTCACCTACCCAGTCACCCACCTACACCAACAACCACTCACCTGCCCAGTCACCCACATATACTGATAACCCCACACTCATCCACCTGGTCACCCACCACCCACACCATGCTACCCATCACCTACACCATGCCACCCACACAATCACCATCACACCACCTTGTTGCTTCCAAACTCCACCCAGCATCCTCCAGCTCCTGTCCCTGCCCCTCCTCCATATAAGCTATGAGGAGAGGCTAATGAAATTGAATCTAATGACTTTGGAAGGCAAAAGAACTGAGGGAGATATAATAATATACAAAATACATAGAAGAATTGATAGGGTAGAAAGGGACAGACTGTTTGAGAAACAGCTGGAAGTTAGCCACACATGAGCCATTTGGATATCAGGAAGTAATTCTTCAGTATCAGACTGGTTGGGAATAATAATAATAATAATCTGTATTTCTACCAGTACATGATACAACTTATACAGACCATAGCTGACATCAGGTGACCTACTACTACATAGAAAATCCCTTGTTATGCAGAGCATTTCAGGCAAATTAGGTTAATTTTGTCCCCAGGATGCTATCCATATCAGTCAGTTAACACCCAGGTACCTATTTTCTACTAGGTGAGCAGGGTATGATCTTGAAGTAGTGGAGGTGGGCTCCATACATAGTTTTAAGAATAGGTACAATAGGATCTTAGAGGTTACAGGGGAATGAATCTGACAGGTCAGCAAGTTGAGGGGTGGGGCCAAGAGCTAGGACACTACTCTTGCAACCCTACATAGACGAGTACATACAGTGAGGTCTCGATTAGTGCAAGTCAGGAATTCTGTGAAGTGGTCATGGTATTAGAATTACAGTAGTTCCCCTGTATCTGCTGGAGATATTTTCCAAGACCTACCATGGATACCTGAAACCGGATAGTAGCAAACCCTATGCAGTGGACCCCCAGTTTACGATATTATTTCATTCCAGAGGTATGTTCAGGTGCCAGTACTGACAAAATTTGTTCCCATAAGGAATATTGTGAATTAGATTAGTCCATTTCAGACCCCCAAACATACACATACAAACGCACTTACATAAATACACTTACATAATTGGTCGCATTGGGAGGTGATCGTAAACCGGGGGTCCACTGTATATGTCTTTTTCATTTTTTTTTTTTTTCAACAAGTCGGCCGTCTCCCACCGAGGCAGGGTGACCCAAAAAAGAAAGAAAATCCCCAAAAAGAAAATACTTTCATCATCATTCAACACTTTCACCACACTCACACATTATCACTGTTTTTGCAGAGGTGCTCAGAATACAACAGTTTAGAAGCATACACATATAAAGATACACAACATATCCCTCCAAACTGCCAATATCCCAAACCCCTCCTGTAAAGTGCAGGCATTGTACTTCCCATTTCCAGGACTCAAGTCCGACTATATGAAAATAACCGGTTTCCCTGAATCCCTTCACTAAATATTACCCTGCTCACACTCCAACAGATCGTCAGGTCCCAAGTACCATTTGTCTCCATTCACTCCTATCTAACACGCTCACGCACGCTTGTTGGAAGTCCAAGCCCCTTGCCCACAAAGCCTCCTTTACCCCCTCTCTCCAACCTTTTTGAGGACGACCCCTACCCCGCCTTCCTTCCCCTATAGATTTATATGCTTTCCATGTCATTCTACTTTGATCCATTCTCTCTAAAGGACCAAACCACCTCCACAACCCCTCTTCTGCCCTCTGACTAATACTTTTATTAACTCCACACCTTTTCCTAATTTCCACACTCCGAATTTTCTGCATAATATTTACACCACACATTGCCCTTAAACAGGACATCTCCACTGCCTCCAACCGTCTCCTCGCTGCTGCATTTACCACCCAAGCTTCACACCCATATAAGAGTGTTGGTACTACTATACTTTCATACATTCCCTTCTTTGCCTCCATAGATAACGTTTTTTGACTCCACATATACCTCAACGCACCACTCACCTTTTTTCCCTCATCAATTCTATGATTAACCTCATCCTTCATAAATCCATCCGCCGACACGTCAACTCCCAAGTATCTGAAAACATTCACTTCTTCCATACTCCTCCTCCCCAATTTGATATCTAATTTTTCTTTATTTAAATCATTTGATACCCTCATCACCTTACTCTTTTCTATGTTCACTTTCAACTTTCTACTTTACACACATTCCCAAACTCATCCACTAACCTTTGCAATTTTTCTTTAGAATCTCCCATAAGCACAGTATCATCAGCAAAAAGTAACTTGTGTCAATTCCCATTTTGAATTTGATTCCCCAAAATTTAATCCCACCCCTCCCGAACACCCTAGCATTTACTTCCTTTACAACCCCATCTATAAATATATTAAACAACCATGGTGGCATTACACATCCCTGTCTAAGACCTACTTTTACCGGGAAGTAGTCTCCCTCTCTTCTACACACCCTAACCTGAGCCTCACTATCCTCATGAAAACTCTTTACAGCATTTAATAACTTACCACCTATTCCATATACTTGCAACATCTGCCACATTGCTCCTCTATCCACTCTATCATATGCCTTTTCTAAATCCATAAATGCAATAAAACTTCCCTACCTTTATCTAAATACTGTTCACATATATGCTTCAATGTAAACACTTGATCTACACATCCCCTACCCACTCTGAAACCTCCTTGTTCATCCGCAATCCTACATTCTGTCTTACCTCTAATTCTTTCAATTATAACCCTACCGTACACTTTTCCTGGTATACTCAGTAAACTTATTCCTCTATAATTTTTACAGTCTCTTTTGTCCTCCTTCCCTTTATATAAAGGGACTATACATGCTCTCCGCCAATCCCTAGGTACCTTCCCCTCTTTCATACATTTATTAAACAAAAGTACCAACCACTCCAACACTATATCCCCCCTGCTTTTAACATTTCTGTCATGATCCCATCAGTTCCAGCTGCTTTACCCCCTTTCATTCTACATAATGCCTCACGTACCTCCCCCACACTTACATTCTGCTCTTCTTCACTCCTAAAAGATGGTATACCTCCCTGACCAGTGCATGAAATTACTGCCTCTCTTTCTTCCTTAACATTTAAAAGTTCCTCAAAATATTCTCGCCATCTACCTAATACCTCCCTCTCCCCATCTACTAACTCCCCTACTCTGTTTTTAACTGACAAATCCATCCTTTCCCTAGGCTTTCTTAACTTATTTTAACTCCAAAATTTTTTCTTATTTTCATTAAAATTTCTTGACAGTGCCTCTCCCACTCTATCATCTGCTCTCCTTTTGCACTCTCTCACCACTCTCTTTACCTTTCTTTTACTCTACATATACTCTGCTCTTCTTATAACACTTCTGCTTTGTAAAAACCTCTCATAAGCTACCTTTTTCTCTTTTATCACACCCTTTTCTTCATCATTCCACCAGTCACTCCTCTTTCCTCCTGCCCCACCCTCCTATAACCACAAACTTCTGCCCCACATTCTAATACTGCATTTTTAAAACTATTCCAACCCTCTTCAACCCCCCCCACTACTCATCTTTGCACTAGCCCATCTTTCTGCCAATAGTCACTTATATCTCACCCGAACTTCCTCCTCCCTTAGTTTATGCACTTTCACCTCCCTCTTACTTGTTGTTGCCACCTTCCTCTTTTCCCATCTACCTCTTACTCTAACTGTAGCTACAACTAAATAATGATCCGATATATCAGTTGCCCCTCTATAAACATGTACATCCTGGAGCCTACCCATCAACCTTTTATCCACCAATACATAATCTAACAAACTACTTTCATTGCGTGCTACATCATACCTTGTATATTTATTTATCCTCTTTTTCATAAAATATGTATTACTTATTACCAAATCTCTTTCTACACATAGCTCAATTAAAGGCTCCCCATTTACATTTACCCCTAGCACTCCAAATTTACCCACTACTCCCTCCATAACATTTTTATCCACTTTAGCATTGAAATCCCCAACCACCATTACTCTCACACTTGATTCAAAACTCCCCACGCATTTACTCAGCATTTCCCAAAATCTCTCTCTCTCCTCTACACTTCTCTCTTCTCCAGGTGCATACATGCTTATTATAACCCACTTTTCACATCCAGTCTTTATTTTACTCCACATAATCCTTGAATGAATACATTTATAGTCCCTCTTTTCCTGCCATATCTTATCCTTCAACATTATTGCTACTCCTTCTTTAGCTCTAACTCTATTTGAAACCCCTGACCTAATCTCATTTATTCCTCTCCATTGAAACTCTCCCACCCCCTTCAGCTTTGTTACACTTAAAGCCAGGACATCCAGTTTCTTCTCATTCATAACATCCACAATCATCTCTTTCTTATCATTTGCACAACATCCATGCACATTCAGACTTCCCACTTTGACAATTTTCTTCTTCTTATTCTTTTTAGTAATCTTTACAGGAAAAGGGGTTACTAGCCCATTGTTCCCGGCATTTTAGTTGACTTCTACAACACGCATGGCTTACGGAGGAAAGATTCTTATTCCACTTCCCCATGGATATAAAAGGAAAAGTAATAAGACCAAGAACTATTTCATTTACATACAATAAATTTTAATTGATAAATTACGCATGGTAAGTTGAAAATTAACACTTTTTCACTGATGGGAAAGCACTTCACAGCTTCTCTTAGGCTTTGAAGACCTGCCACCATCACTACTTTTGTGCTTTGGTGCCATTATTAAGCCACATTAAGGGTTATTTTTGGGCCACGGTACACCATGAATAACTGAAACCGCAGAACTCAAATCCGTGGGTTCCTGGGTGTTAGTGGACTGGTGTGGGTCACATTCTAGGGCAAAATTGACTTGATTTGTGGGAAATGCTCTGCATAACAAGGGGCTTTCTATGTAGAAGCATGTCAGTGATGTCAGCTATGGTCTGTATACGTACCTGGTGCATGTACCTGTAGTAATAAAGATTATTTTTTATATTTACTCATCAGGGATTTTGCCCACTTTGAGTCCTATTTTAGGCCAATTATATTGTTCCAGTTGACCAAATTTTTAGCTATTTCACTAGCATACCTTCCATCTTAGCGACTGAGCAAAAGAAATTGCCTAATCAACTATTTCAACTACCCAATAAAGTGATCAGAAATTGGCTATTTGGCCAATTTCATACATATTTTAAAATATTCCAGTTTCAAAATAGGGTCCAGAATAAATGATACAGACATTCCTGGCACTGAAATAACATTTCCTCTGTTTATTAGTTACGTTTCCAGGCTCTACACATGAATTCCATTTTTATTCACATAATGAATTTTTATTCTCACAAAAAACTGAAGATTTAATGCTATGTAATATTGTAATAATTGTGTAAATATCAGTGCCTTTGTGAATGCATATTAGACCCACCAGATGATGTGTATTGGATGCATGACATGATTTGTTTACTCTCGAATATCAGCAAAAATCAAACATTTTCCCTATTTTGAGCTCAATTTCAAGCCATTTTCAATCCCAAAAGCACAAAAATCTTAGCTATTTTTGTAATGTATCTTCCATTCTATCAGTTGAGACCAAGAAACCATGAATACAACCATAAAAACAACACAAAAATATACAAAGTCGCTGTTTTAAACTGAAAGCATGGTCACAGTTTTTTCTCATTATTCACTGTATGCTGTTGGATTGTTTTTATATGGTGCACACTTACCACATACACACATTCTCTCGTATATTATTTACTTCTTTCTTTCTTTCAACACACTGGCCATATCCCACCAAGGCAGGGTGGCCCAAAAAGAAAAACGGAAGTTTCTCTTTTAAATTTAGTAATTTATACGGGAGAAGGGGTTACTAGCCCCTTGCTCCCGGCATTTTAGTCACCTCTTACAACATGCATGGCTTACGGAGGAAGAATTCTGTTCCACTTCCCCATGGAGATAAGAGGAAATAAACAAGAACAAGAACAAGAAAGAAAATAGAATACCCAGAGGGATGTGTATATATATGCTTGTACATGTATGTGTAGTGTGACCTAAGTGCAAGTAGAAGTAGCAAGACATACCTGAAATCTTGCATGTTTATGAGACAGACAAAAGACACCAGCAATCCTCCCTCATGTAAAACAATTACAGGTTTTTGTTGTACACTCACTTGGCAGGACGGTAGTACCTCCCTGGGCGGTTGCTGTCTACCAATCTACTACCTTGGATTATTTACTTATTATATCATATGTGAACTGTTGTATTTGGGCACCTCTGCAAAGACAGTAATTATGTGTGAATGCTGGTGAAAGTGTTGAATTATCTTGAAAGTGAAAGTGCTTCTTTTTTGGGTCACCCTGCCCAGGTGGGAGACGGCCGTTGTGTTAAAAAAACAATTCATATTAAACTTACGGTATTTTCAGCTTATGACAGGATCATTGGAATGTAACTTCTTCGTAGGTCAAGGCGCACCTGTGGTTTTATATAAAATTCACCTTGATTTATTGCATTTCATTTATTTTTGTGTTACAGGTGATACTGATGTTCTGCGAGGAGAGGCTCCGGCACCGTCCCCTGATCATTACCTCAGCACCAGTATCGTCATCACCTTCTTAGTTGCCTTCTTGACCCCACTAATGAGATCCAGAGTGGTGACGTCTAACTGACCATTGTTCACCTCGCACATAACATGTTGCTTCAAGTGAAGAATGAACATTCAGGTTGTTTGTCTGTGAATTTCTTGGATAAAGAAAATCCAGTTGAAAGCGTTCACAGCTTTGACCTGCACAGAATCCGATCCAGTGTTTTCGTCCGCCTTTTATAACATTGTGTTTTTCAAAGATGTTGAGGTTAAATATATAAATACGTTGATACCTTACTGAATCTCAATTAAGTATATATATATACTGTATTGTACTTCCAGTTAGATTGGTAAAAAATTTAATTATATATTGTAATTAAAATAGGATAGACTAAGTGGGCAGTAATATATTTTTAGTATATGTGAAGGCTTGGACTTTCAGAGAAATTCTCTTTAATATCCTCAAGAGGTCCTGTGATGTTTTGCCTCTGCCTGTAGAGGGAGCATCTCTCTCTGATATACCTCTTCTCTTTATTGTAACGTTGTTAGTGCAGAGTATATTTTACGCCACTGGAGACACAGTGGTCACCAAGATCTCCCTCACAACTGGTCACAAAGATAGTGCACCCATTGCTCACATTCTCTCATCAGAAATAATGCTTCAGTTCTCACCATCCATTTTAAGAATTCCATTTTTATCTTCTCTTTCCTTGCCGTAATTTCTCCGGTGTTTGCAGTACTAGTTTAAGCATCTCACATTTTATGGAGTGGACATGTCGTATTTTAAGGGCGAACATGTCACATTTAAGAATGGACACGTCACATTTTTAAGAGACGTTATCATAAATCTTCCACAGTTAGTAGATAAGATCATGTCAGTTATTTACACTGAGCTTTTCAAAACAAAACTAAAAATATATAATCATACTGGGAATTCCTGGCCAGGTTTGGATTTTAAACCTGGAGTCTGAGATAAGAGAATAATTACAAAAAAAGTTTTAATGTACCAGCTGTCTCCCACCAAGGCAAGGTGACTCGAAAAAGAAGAAATCCTTATAAGGCTTCTCTTCCTTCATATTTTTCTTTCAACAAACTGGCCATATCCCACCAAGGCAGAGTGACCTAAAATGAAAAACAAAAGTTTCTCTTTCTAAATTTATTAATGTACCCAGGAGAAAGGGTTATTAGCCCCCTTGAATAATAGTAATATTTCTTAAAAATAATAATACACACATTAATAAAATACTTGACGTTATAGGGGGGCTTAGTTATACAGTGGAAAGATAGGGGACTTAGTTATATGATGCTTGCTTATAGTACGTGCCTGCAATAATTCCATCAAGCACAGACTGTTTAGATGGATCGTGGTGCAAGGTGGTGGAACTTTTGATCCATTTTACTAAACTGTAAAGATCTAAGGGAGAATTTCAGGGAATATTTCATGAACAAACCAAAGATTATTATTTTAATATCTGAGAAGTGGAACAGAATTCTTCCCCTGTAAGCTATGTGTGCCGTAAGAGGTGACTAAAATGCTGGAAGCAAGGTGCTAGTAACACCTTCTCTATACATTACTAAATTTAAAAAGAGAAACTTTTGTTTTTCTTTTTGGGCCACCGTGCCTTGGTGGGATACGGCTGGTTTGTTGAAAGAAGAAGGAATCTGAGTACCAACACGATTTTGAACTTCTTTGAGATGTCAGATTTCCAACTTTCAGTGCTTGACTGTAAGATGATGAACCATCTTCGTGTGATCTGGATCATTGCAGGGCCGTATGATCAGAATCATAAGCAGGACCGTATGATCATCAGGTTATTAAGTTCTGAGAGAAAGATGCATTCAACTAAGACTTGTAAGTGTGAACAGAGGCCTTAGGCTGCTTGGCAAAGACAACCCTCAAAACCAGTCACAGGTATGTCTCTCATATACTCTACTCGACACCTTCAATAGTGTATGTTCCTGCAAATAAGGCACACTTTTTTCCCACAAAAAGTCTGGGAAAATCATCCTGCACCTTACAAGGTCAGAGTCAAGGTTAGGTTTTGGGTCACACTTGAGTGGTCGCTTACCAACGTTACAACTTTGTTACATCATCTTATATGCTGGAAAATATGGTATTTTTCCCTGCGGTCTGTTCTTTGGTGGAAGGAGATGTACACATGGGGCAGTGGGCCACTAGCAGCAACAGCCTGGTTGACCAGGCTATCACCAGACAAGCCTGGCCCATGACCGGGCTCCGGGAGTAAAATCGTAAAATCTCAAGACTCATCAAAGGTGCGCATACACACACACACACACACACACACACACACACACACACACACACACACACACACACACACACACACACACACACACACACACACACACACACACACACACACACACACACACACACACACACACACACACACATGCACCACACACACGCATGCACCACACACACGCATGCACCACACACACACACACGCATGCACCACACACGCACGCATGCACCACACACACGCACGCATGCACCACGCACACGCACGCATGCACCACACACACGCATGCACCACACACACATGCATGCACCACACACACACACGCATGCACCACACACACGCATGCACCACGCACATGTACGTACGTACGTGGATTCTACAGTACTGAGGTTGCTCATGGTGAGATGTGTACTTATTAAATGTCTTCATCTGTAGATACATTTGTTTCTATGCAACTTGGTGGTGCTGCAAGGTCTCGGTTAGTGCGAATAATGAATTCCGTGATGTGGTCACATTTGAATTTGCACTATTCAAATTATATATAGTTTTTGTGCATAATTTAAAGTTTCTGGAAAAACTAGCATTAATTAATTTCAGACTAAAGCGAAATTCACACTAATTGAGGCCTGACTGTATTTCTATTCTGGTTCAACTACGTTGTTTAAAAGGACCATTTTTAGTTTTTCTTCTATATCCATTATGTTTCACTTACCTAAACTAAACTCCATCATATATTAGTCATTCCATCTGTGCAATTTATTCAAATCTTTTAGGAATTTTTCATTTCTCAAGACTCCTGTGTCCTGTACACACGTTCATAGAGTTGTTTATTGTAGGCTCGTATCCTGTCACCTTCCACAGCTCGCATCTCATGTACTCGCCTATTTGTAATTGCAGGGGTTGATTTGCAGCTCCTGGTCCTGCCTTTTTACTGGTTACTATTAGGTCTACACTCTCCCTGCTCTAAGAGCCTTGTCATCTCTCTCCTTAAAGTTATATATGGATAAATAACAAAAAGGCACAATACCGTGACTGGAACGATACACAAATAACCCGCACATAAAAGACAGAAGCTTACGACGACGTTTCGGTCCGACTTGGACCATTGACAAAGTCACACGGTGTGACTTTGTCAATGGTCCAAGTCGGACCGAAACGTCGTCGTAAGCTTCTGTCTTTTATGTGCGGGTTATTTGTGTGTGTTATATATGGATCCTGCCTCCACTACACTGCTCCCATCCTTTTCTTTATCTCTAATCAGAGACAGATTTTTGCCTTATTATTTTTGTATTATTTTGCACAGTATTGTGTGTGGGTGTATATCTTGAAATTATTTTTCCTCGGGTAGAGGTTTTTCATTCAGAATATTCCACAAATATTGTCATTACCAACTATCTCAACTTGTCTTTCAGATGAGAATTTACATCTTGTCAATAATTAGCAAAGATTATTTAATATATGGTGAATGTATTATGCTTTTTGTATAACTTTATTGGTATCGGTAGCACATTCCGTATCTTTAGGAATAACGCAAGACAATTTAATTATATCAATCTTAGCCCAGTATAACCGTGGCTTTGCACAAGGAAATCCTTCAGTTTGTTATCACAGATGCAGCATCACTGTCAGTGAAACTGGAAGAATATCCCAGGACACTGTGTTGTAACCCCTAGTTTCTTTTAGATTGGGGGTAAACATGAGTTTTGAGACTCTGACTGCAGATTCAAACCCCACCTGTGGTATGGTATGGTTTAGGGTAAACATGTATTTTGGCAAAGATTTCTACATTAAATGGGTCATCAGTGACTTAGATTGGGAGTAAAAATACATCTCGACAAATATTTCTATACCATGGGGGTCATGAATGACTTAGACCTGGGTCAGGGGTCACTTTCTAGTTCCCCGACGAACAAAACACCAGCACCTGGAATTTTATATCTGACCATTATTAAATTTAAAGCCATTCATGGAAGCTGTTTGAATAATAACATAGAAATACAAGCATTTAATAGTATGTATAGTTAGGCAGAACTTGTATGGAGGAAAGATAACAGCCATTTTTCCAAAATTTAACTTCTGTGCTTCTACTCTAATAGTCAGTTTTATTATTGAATTCTTTTATATCACAAATAATTGAGTTGCATATTGCAGTATATAGTAAGCTGAACATTGTACGTGACTGTTGTGAACGTTTCTTGCAATGACATATAAGACTTTATGATATGGTTATAATCATGACCATGGCGAAGGCCTCGGCCAAATGTCCAAAAGCTCCAGCTGTGGGTCATCATATGAATAATACCCGCATAAGGAAACACTTGTCCTGTTTCCTGACCAACCTTACCTAACCTAACCTTGTGATGAATGGTTTGAAAAACCGACAAGTTGAAGATTGAGACACTTATGCAGCATATGGAAATCTTTATTCAGGAAACGTTTCGCCACACAGTGGCTTCATCAGTCCAGTACAAAGAGGAAGGCGTAAGGAGAGGAGGAGAATGAGGTAATCAGTCCCTCAACCTGGAGTCGATGTGTACATTCTACAAGATTGATGGACTGAACACATCGACTCCAGGTTGAGGGACTGATTACCTCATTCTCCTCCTCTCCTTACGCCTTCCTCTTTGTACTGGACTGATGAAGCCACTGTGTGGCGAAACGTTTCCTGAATAAAGATTTCCATATGCTGCATAAGTGTCTCAATCTTTAACCTAACCTTACATAAGACTTATGGTAGGGATTCAGGGGAAGATTTACTGGCAGCTTATTATATATTTAATTGAAAGTACTAAACCCATAAGGGTCATATAGTGCCCAAGGAATGACAGGGAGTCAAGTTTGATCCAAGGAAAAGGATAACTAAATAAATTCTTGAATAATTCTTTCAACCAAGTTGAATTCACACTTAACTGTGACAAGTTTTATTTACCAAAAAAAAAAAAAAATCACATTCCAATTAGTATTAGGTTTATTTCCTTAGTTTACTCTCACAATGTAAACCTGTGTAATATATTTTGAGATTGGTGGCCATCATAAGAATACAAAATTAATATTTTTGAGTGTGGTGGCCACCATACGTATAAAAAAATAAATATTTTGATGCCATAATAAGTCTGGCATATATTGACATACATTGCAGCACTTGTTAAGACTCGTACTTTCTCAACGCTCTGTGGAAAATTTACAAACTTTTAGCATGTAAACTCTGCCAATTAACCCTTTTTACGATGCTAATATATTTTTCACGCCTGCATATCGTATATGTTATTATCTTAAGAAATTTTTGGATATATAGCGTATCGTTTACATTGTGTAACTTTGGTGTGATTATTATATATCATAGAGGAGTGAAACGTACGTTGAAAACGTTGTTTTTAATATTGTAACTTAAAAACGTTGTTTTTAATATTGTAACTTAAAAACATTGTTTTTAATATTGTAACTTAAAAACATTGTTTTTAATATTGTAACTTAAAAACATTCTCTTCATTATTGTAACTATAATACCTACTAATTTTTTTGTGCCAGCGCTCGCTTAATTGTGGTTGAAGGGATTGAGTCACAGCTCCTGGTCCTGCCTCTGCTGGCCACTACTGGTCTCACTCCTGGCTTTGAGCCCTGTCATACCTATTCTTAAAGCTATGTATGAATTCTGCTTCACAATGTTTTCATATTCTCGACCTCCCTCATGCTGTATGACTCCTACAGGTTTAGTGCTCTCCATTTTACTTGCTTCATCAGAGATAAAATTTAAACACAGTGTGAACCACGGTATGTGACCTTAATTCATTCCAGAAGGCTGTTCGAGCGCCGCTCCGAGTATCAAACATATTCTTCCCAGTAATGTTGGTAGAATTACCGACAATATGTAAAGTAAAATCGGCTTGACAAAGCTCCTGGAGAGCGAAACGTTGCCACAATAAAATGTCACATTAGTTGCACTTGTGGCCTTTTACTTTACAAGTTCTTCCCAACCAATTTTCTGTTTGGTTGGCTGTTATCACTAATTGTTGTAGACCCCATGGTGACTTGTTTATACAAATAATACAAAAAAACGCCAAAAAATGTGAAGAAACACGAAATAATTTACAGCAAAGTTCTGACAGGTTGTATTTGTTTGGTCGAGCGCTGAGCTTTGTTCAAGTAGGGAGCTGGTCGTATACCGAGGTTCCACTGTAAACTGAAGTTAATATGTATGGTATATACAACATATATATACAGTATATACATATTTATCATACAGTATATGCATGTTACTAATCATTCTGAGAGTCACTACCAATGATACACAATGAATATACTGTTATGGATGTATTAATATATATACTATGAATTTATAACACTTGTATTATGTACGAAGCACAACCATTATTAACTCTGTAATATAATAAGTACAAATGTGAGATTGTATACACTGTGTGTGTATATATATATATTGCCCAATAAACATATTAATGAAAGTCTATGTAGTAGGACCCATGTATCCACGAGGGATGCGTTCCAAGGACCTGCCGCAGATACCAAAACCGCGGATAGTGGCGAACCCCACGTATATATGAGTCTCATACATACTTATTATAAAGCTTAATTGATAAATTATGCACAATGAATGGAGAATTATCACTTTTCCCTGATGGGAAGCACTTCACAGCTTCTCTTAGGCTTTGAAGACCTCCCACCATCACTACTTTCGCACTTAGAGGTCATTATTAAGCAAAATTAAGGGCAATTATCAGGCCAGGGTAAACCGTAGATACCGGACCCGTGGATACGGTGGTTCTGCTGTATATATTGCCCATGAAACATATTAATGAAACTACACAAATATTGCTTAACCCGTAAACGGTCCAAACAGATCTACGTTTACATGTGTAGCGCTACACAAGTAGATCTACGTTTTTTTACACATTTTCAAATATAACAAAAAAGAAAAGTATATCAAAGTTTTTTTACACATTTTCAAATATAACAAAAAAAAAAGTATATCAAAGTTTTTTTTACACATTTTCAAATATAACAAAAAAAAAAGTATATCAAAGTTTTTTTTACACATTTTCAAATGTAAAAAACAAAACAAAAAAAAGATCTACTTTTTTTACATACTTTCAAATGTTGAAAAAACGTATATATACGTTTGGATAGTTTACGGGTTAAATTCCCTTCAGTGTGTTGTGTAAAAGACAATATGAACAACCAGTGAATATTTGTTACATGAGTTCTTGTGTTACGTAAAATGTGTCATCAATAAGCAGTGAACATTGACGTCACATTAGTTCTTGTGTTTTGTGGTTTAATGAAAAACAGTCGGTTCTCTAGGCTTGAACATTTGTTTGTTGTATTACTTTAGTTAATACTAGACAGTGACACTTGCCTCATCTCTCACCCACTTTCTCATAGCACTCATTTTTCCTTGAATTTATTCTAGGTATATTTTACAAATATTTCCGTCCAAGATGTTTGTTATTGTGGTCCGTGGCAATGGTCCTCAGCCTTCCTACACAAGTGGGCCACATTGATGGTCAGATGTGTGATGAGGGCCACACTGTTTTATTGACATTGTGAAGTGTGGACCCTATATGAGTGAATTCATAATCTCACATGAGGGCTGCATCCATTTCCTAGAAGGGCCACATGCGGCCCATGGCCCGCAGGTTGGGGACCCCTGGTCCATGGTGTATATTTTGTTTACTAATATAATGTGTCAAGACATCTCAATATTAATAAGTTTTTAGTCGTATTTAATTTTAATGACTAGAATTCTGAATTTTATAAACATGGAGTATTGTATTTGTATTGTTTAACTAGGATACTAACCTGAGAAATGGTCTCCAGATGCCTGTGACCACAGGCAAGGGTATAGCCACTCAACGACCTTGAACGGTTGTGTAATGATATTGACCTAGTTTGTGGAATGAAGAAGAGTACACGACTACCACATATGACAGCTATGTTCAGGTGTCCCTTGTTTTATGCTGGAGATGGACTTGAGTCCTGGAAATGGGAAGTACAATGCCTGCACTTTAAAGGAGGGGTTTGGGATATTGGCAGTTTGGAGGGATATGTTGTGTATCTTTATACGTATATGCTTCTAAACTGTTGTATTCTGAGCACCTCTGCAAAAGCAGTGATAATGTGTGAGTGTGGTGAAAGTGTTGAATGATGATGAAAGTATTTTCTTTTTGGGGATTTTCTTTCTTTTTTTTTGGGTCACCCTGCCTCGGTGGGAGACGACCGACTTGTTGAAAAAAAAAAAAAAAAATGCACTCCAGGTCCCTGGCAGCTGTATGGAGCTCACTCAAGCCATTAATACACTTCACTATGGCTTGTCAACTGTACCAATCACATATGGCAACTGTATTTTATATATGGAGTTAATGACAGGAACAGGACAGCATAAAACAAGGGCAGCCTGTATATGTAAAATGCACATAGTAGAGTAAGCTCTTTTTATTTTAGACATTTTGCTCTGTATAGATCTTTATCAAGTCTGTATAGAGCTTTATCAAGTTATATAACTTTATCAAGTCTGTATAGAGCTTTATCAAGTCTATAATAGAGCTTTATTAAGACTATATAGAGCTTCATCAACTGTATAGAGATTTATCAAGTTTATATAGAGCCCTACTTAATGCAAGGTATCCGATAAAGTTCTACACCCGTAAGTGTGGTAGAGTGTCTGGCGATAAGGTTATAATCAGGTCCAGTATATTTATGATGGGACAGCTCTGATTCCTTGATATCAAGAACCCTCCACGCACACCAAGACTCCGCCTCAGTAGGAACGGCTCCCAAACAGGCTGTGCTGTACGATTTCATACCGGTAATTTGCGGGCTACCTGCCCCTTGGTATATTACGTATGGAGGAGTTGTATGATATATATGTCATGTATGATGTATAGAGGAGTCATCATGTATGAAGTATGGAGGAGTCAAGGTTAGTGTCACACGCAGTTTACAATATACGTATATGTATGTTTATATAAAATCATGCAATAATCCCAGGAAAATGTATATTAAGTAGTAATTTTAAATGATTTTATAGATGCTGCATTTATAAATTTTTAATCTCTTATATCGTAGTTTCATTACCCTCGTCCAGTGGATGAATACTATAGTGTCTTAAAACAGCAAATAAATAACTGGGTGATGTTTTACTTAAAACAATTAAAAACTGTTACAATCATCAGTAAAAATTAAGAAATACCATCTTGCCCCACAATTATAATTCAATCAAATTAAGGGCTACACCCTTAAGGCTTTTTGATTATAATAATAATAATAATACACCCTTAAGGGTCATAGTGCTGCTGGGAACAATGTACGAAGGTACGACTATTGGACCTTTCACCGTCCA